GAGCCCTAAAAGGAAGCCTGAATCCCCCCAGAGCCCCTCAGAACCCTTAAAGGAATCCGTACACCAGCCCTTAAGCCTTTGAGGAACCCTGAATCCAAACCCCAAGCCTTCAGAACCCTTAAACGAATCCTTATACGAGCCCTTAAACTAACCCTGAATTTTCCCAGAGCCCTCAGAACCCTTAAAGGAACCAATACGAGCCCTAAAGGAACCCTGAAGAAGCCGTCAGAACCCTTAAAGGAACCCTTAACCCTAAACCCTTATACTCATAGGAGCCCTTAAAGGAAACCTGAATTTTCCCAGAGCCCTTAGAACCCTGAAGAAAGGAACCCTTATACTCATAGGAGCCCTTAAAGGAACCCTGAATCCCCCAGAGCCCTCTGTCTTCCGGCCCAGCGGCTCCCACGAACCCCGCGGCCCCAGCGGCCCCCCCGAGGCTACGTAGGGATCTTGGCCTTGGGCCTTCAAGCTGCCACAGTACAGGGAACTCCAGAAAGTTGGAATATGGTTTCAGAGTAGGATACCTTATAATTTACCATAAAGGGTTTAGGATAATCATATTCCAACTTTCTGGCTTTTACTTTGCAGGATTTTTTGGGGGGTTTCTACTTCATGGTTGGGATAGGATTCAAAATTTACATGTTTATTCCTTACTGGGTTTAAGTAACCATAAAAATTTAAAAGGTTGCCCAACTATGAAAAGGTTTAGGGTTCTGAGCTGTAGGGTTCTTAAGGCTGAGAGCTGTAGGGTTTAGGATCAAGGCTTAAGGTGGGCATTAGGGCTTTAGGGTTCAGGGTGGTAGTGCATTAGGGCTTTAGGGTATTTGGGTATTTAGGGCATGGGGGTTTTAGGGAGTAGGGTAAGCTGCCAAAGCACAGATTCAGGCTTTAAGGCTTGGAGCTGTAGGGTTTAGGGTCTAAACTGATGGTTTAGGGCTGCAGGGTTTAGGACATTCGGGTTTTAGGGCTTAGGGTGGCAGGGCATTGGGGTTCTGCGTTTGGAGCTGTAGGATTTAGAGTTCAGAGTTCAGGTTTTGGGGTTTACAGCTGCACGGCTTTATAGGGCTTTGGGGTTTAGTAAAGTGTGAGGGTTTGTAAGGAAGGATAGGGTTTCATAAGGCTTCAGGTTTATAGGATTTGGGGTGTTGGCGGTTGAAAAAGTTTAGGGGTTTTGGGCTTTGCGGGCCACTGCCTAGAAGGCAGGGTTTGTATAGATAAACTGCATTGTTGGTACACGTGGGCTGAAGTGTTCTGGCTTTTGGGTTATGCAAGGCCTCGGGATCAATGCGGAACCCTGGTTGACAAACATTCGTTCTTGAAGCAGCCGTAGCATCCCTCTTCCGCTCCCCTTCCTGGTGGCGGGTTTCTTTACCATACAAGGAGGAACAGAAGTGTGCAAGGGATTGCAAAACGTTCATCAGGTATCAGGGCTTGTAAAGGTTTATGGGGTGAGTTTTGCATATAATTAGTGGCTAAACAGTCACACGAGTTGACATGGGTTAAGGACACGGCAATCGGCAGCCTTCAGGCAAACCCTGCATGGCGGCATTGCTCAACAAACACCAACAGGCAGAATAAACCCGAAACAATGCATCACACAGAACAAAAGAAATCAAGCAAATCCAAACGTTGAGACTGAAGAGCAACCTTAAACCCTTTATACACCCCATAAGCTCCAGAACAGCAAGCACGCATCCAAGACAGCGAACGTTTCTCCATCCCGAGTTTGCGCGCTGGTGGGAGCTCTGCCTCCTCCCGGAACACGAAGGACCCGTATGGACCCGGGCTTGGATCTTGTATGTCTCTATTCTTGATACGGCTTTTACGGTCTGCCTCGAACGCCAAACCCTAGAGAATAGTTATGATCCCTGAAGTATATATATATATATACATATATATATATATATACATATATATATATATATATATATATATATATAAGGTACAACACTCAGAATAGAAGATGTGCAGCTGGAGCCACGGCTATATACTTCGGTCTGGGCGGTGCGTCAGCTTTGGGATCAAGTTTAGGACACGTTGTTAAACAGATTTGCAATACGGGAGCTTCCGAAAATAGGAGTGCTTTAGTTAGGGGTCCTTATAATAAGGATCCTATTATTTCGGGTACTACATTATAGGGTTCCCTAGTTTCGGAAACTCCCATATGCATTGTGAGCAAATTGCCTACTAGTGATACTAGTGTGCGGTCAGGCTAAGTCGGGATTCTGCTAATTGTCGGGAAGCTGTATAGAACCCTCATGCACGTAGAATTAAGGCGGGACGCTCTCGGTAAAGGATTAAGCAGTCGATCTGGTGCACGGCGAGTGCTGTAAGGCGACGAGGAATTAGTGGTACCTAAAACCTTAAACCTTACGGCCCAAACCGTAAACCAAACCAAGAAAGAAATTCATCCGGGACTTAATTATCTCGAGCGAAGTAAAGCTGATGCATGATCGAAGGGTCCACAGCCGAAACTACACAAGCTCAAAACCACTAAGACATCCATTGCAGCTTCCTCCGGTCAAGCGCTCTTGGGTGCATGGTTTTGCGGCTTTAGGATTTGGAGTCCGCTAGGACTCCTTTTAAACAGTAGGTTAATAACCATGTTCTATGTCCTGCAACACATTGCTTAGGAAATTTGCTCAAGCCCTAAGGGGATTACCAATGAACGAATGATTGAAAGTCTTTCCGCTGCTAGCTGAAAATTCACAGCCTGTAGTTCGGGATCGGAAACTAGGGTTTAGGGCTCAGGGATCTGTCAAACCTCACACCCACAGAATGAGAGAGAGAGAGAGAGAGGAAGAGAGACCGAGAGCGAGAGCGAGTGAGAGAGAGAGAGAGAGAGAGACACTGTAGCAGCACCTTGCTTTTTCTCAAAACCCTCCGAGGCCTTAAACCCACGAAAAAAGCCCCTCAACACCAAAGCTCTGAAACCGAAGCCTCCGCCCTGTAAAAGCAAACACCTCGTCGAGAAATTACGTTTTGGACCGACGATTCGGGTTTACGCTTCCAGTACAGGGTTGTTCTTGGAGCCAGAAAAAGAAGCGCAGATGTCCATCTTCCTGCTACAAATGAGAGATCATTCTAGCCGGATGGGCGCTTTATTGAGACTGTCTGAGCTTTAGCAAACTTCGAACCAAACCCGGATGCACAAGTTATCAGCAGAACGGACATGCTATGCCCTCATCCTGATACAAGCAGCTTTACTTCTGTTGTCGAGGGTCTGAGACGCATGTTTGATTAGGGTCAGCGCTTGTGGACAAGGGCGGCCACGGAGGAAGTACTTATGAGGATATATATATATATATAATGAAATCATAATAAGAAGAATAGTAACAATAATAATAATAACAATAATAATAATACTAATAGTAATAAGAATAAGAATAATAATGTTGCTACTCGTGATCTTAGCAGCAGCAAGAGACTCTGAGCCGACAAAAGCGCTTAAACTGATGCAGACTTTGGCATTTTAAGCGTGACCAGTGACTCACATGATTGTCGGAGGCCTCCAAAGGCGGGATGAAGGTGGGTAGGATCAAGGATCCCTTATATAAGGACTCTCATTTGGGAATATCCCACCTACCTTCATCCCACCTTTTGAAGCCTCCGAGATTGATCGCAGCTCCTGAAATGACTCTTCTACGCCATTAACACATAAACCCTCTCCCCAAGGGTCCAAGTACGCGATAATCATGTAGTCTCCAAAATCCTACCCTACATAGCTACTATCCAAAAACCGGGTACCTAATTATTGGGTCCTTTGAGCCCTTGGGGACTGGTCAGAATCCGAAACCCAAACCCGAAACTGTAGGAATCCCGTTCTTCTACACTCGTGACGACAAGAAGCGCCCATCCATGCACATCAAAGCCTCCTGCATGTGATGCGACTAGGGCTCTGCGACATCTCAGCTTTGCCGGCCGGGTCAAGTAGGGGAGAATAATGATAGGATCAGAGCATGTAATTTTGGATTCACGGTTGAGGGTTTAGGGTTTAGGATGTAGGGTTTAGGATTTAAGTCAAGAGCTTATGATTTGGAACTTAGCCAACAGGGCCATAAGCGAGCGACACTTAGATCCCTAGTTTGACCCCGTAGTCGGGATATATAAGACCGTCCGCTGGTTCAAGACTCTTCCATGTCAAACGGATGTAACAGGGATCCAGGGCCTTAACCAACTGAGAAAGGGCTTATGAATCAGGGGTCTATCTGGGAGTTTCCGAAAAGAGGGTACCCTAATATAGTACCCTGAAGAGTAGGATTCTTATAAGGACCCAAGAATAAAGTACCCCTAACTTTCGGAAACTCCCATCTTGCACAAGTCTCTACTTCAATAGGAGGACCTCAGTGGGAGGGCCCCACGGAGCAGCTTCAAATTGACTTGCGAAGATAACATCCCTGCAAGGGTTTAGGACGGTTTAGGGTCTAGGGTTTAGGGGCTTAGGGTTTAGGGTGGTTCCGGTTTCAACATTTAGTCATATGTTCCTTCTTGTGCTCAGGGATTGGGGCGTGGAGCTTCGGATGGCTTGGGTGCCAGGTGCGTGCTGAGTCTATCGGGGTTTCGCCGGCATGAGCAAGACTCACAGTTGCGACCGCGGTCCACGGTGCGACGTGCACGTCATCATAGACTCAAGATGAGCATGGTTTGAACATGACCTCGATATCGCACCGGATTTATCCGAAGACTGGTTGCTCCTATATATGTACCCATAGGCCTCACAGTAATTCCTTCTTGGGAATACCTTATGGGATTCTACATATGAACCCCAAAAAGGAACTACTATGGGGGCCCATGGGTATTTAAAGGATCATGGGACATAAGTAGGGTTAGAACTAGGGTAACTATACTTATACCAACTTATAACCCAAATTCGGCACTCATAACCTTACTTAAGTTACTTACCAGGTCGAATGATCCTTTAAGTAGTCGTGATACAAAGAAAGGTCTGCACCGGTGGCGTCTCTCACTCCCACGGCTCACGCCGTCTCATAGTGATGGCCTCATCGCCTGGCGGAAAAGTCTGTAGGGCTTCGGGTTTCTGGTTTAGGGTTTAGTGTTGTTTAGGGTTGAGGGGTTTAGGGTTTAGGGGTTTATGGTTTAGGGGTTTAGGGGTGAAGGGTTTAGGCGTTTAGGGTTCTGTAGGGCTCCTTCAAGGCTACCTTTCAAGGTAATTGCTCTCGAAGCAGGATTAGACCTGCTGCCGGTGGACGAAATCCTGTCCCAAGTGGCACTTGAACTCCGGGAATCATCGTAGACTCCGCAGTATAAGGATTATGCAGGAGTTCGTCCATCAACACCCTAACTCCCTAACCCCTGAACGTCGAACCCAAGCCCCCGAGCCCCTAAACCCTAACATCCCCTTCAAAATCCCCAAGCCCTTAACCCCTCCAAAAAAATTCAAGCCTCACCCTAAACCCTAAACCCATATACCCATATAAGCCTCAGCCCTAAAATCCCTATGGGTAGTTGTCAAAATTATGGTCCCTTTTTTCGTACCCTAAATATTAGGTGCCGTAGTATACTAAGGACCTAAAAAGCGACCCTAATCTTGACAACCACCCCTATAGCTTCGACTGCCTGCGCGAGTCGCTGCGTCCACGGCGCGACGGGGACCTGCGTTCAGGGTAGGCGGTTTAGGAGGTTTAGGGTTCCGTGAAGAGGTCCTTCAAGTGGTCCTATAAGGGTACTGCAAGGGTTTGGGGGCTTAAGTTGAGGATTTAGGGGCTCAAGTTTAGGGTTTAGGGCCTTTAGGGGTTTACGCTTAGCGTTTAGGGTTTCGGGTCCAGGGGTTTATGTTTAGGGTTCGGGAGTTTAGGGGTGTAAGGGTTTAGGGGTTAGAGTTCCTGAGGGTCCATGCAAATGAACGCAAAGAGTACATACTTTGGACCCAAAGTATCTATTTAGGGACCACTTCAAGGCCAAAGGAGAAACCATATGAGGACACGGACCCTTAGGAGCTCCAACAGGACACCATCCTTTCCGGCACCGTCAGGGTCAAAAGAAGCATCAGAATCAATGCAGCATCAAGTAGCTGGTGCATCCTCAGCAGTCCGACAACCAAGTCGCGGTCCCCATCAATAACAGCAACATGATAAAATGCCATCAGCAGCATGACAAATACCATCGTCAGTCAGAACAACCGTATTCACGATAAGTTTGGGTTTCCTGGACCACAATCTCACCGCAATGGCTAACATCAGCGGAGTGACAAACCACAGCCCAAAACCCAAACCCCAAACACAGACATTCTGTAATACACACTAAACAGTACTGGACTGTACTATACTGTACTCTACGATACTACAATACAATACAACAGAATAACCCAAAATATAAAAACATTTGTCCTATTTATTGTAATTGAATACCATGAAAGCTCCAAGTTTGAAATCCCCTAAGCTGTACGACGCAAAGCGCCAGAGTCCAGATGGCCGAAGTCCCATAAACACTAAACTCTACAGCCCATTGTAAAGCCTCATAAACACGAAAAGTCACTGAACCCTACAGCCCTAACACATCAGAAATAGTTGTCTTATAATCCTTTTTTTGAGTGTCACTAAGCTAAAACCTACAGCCATAAGCCGCCAGCCCTAAAGCAGCAAACCCCAAAAATGCACATCAACGGAACTTCAGTCCAAAACCCTCCTGCAACCCTAACCCCTAAACCCCGAAACCCCGAATGTAGGAACCTCATTCGGAAACCTTGGGCCTTTATTAGGGTTCCTCATATGAATCCTACTAAACCCTAATCCCCTAAAGCCTAAACCCCGAAACCCTAAACCCCGAAACCCTAGCCCTAAACCCCGAACTAACCCCTATAAACCCCTAAACCCCTACCCAACCCCTAAACCCCTACAGTAATCCCCACAAAGTTGGAAACCGGATTAAGGCCAAATAGTGCTGGGATTCCTTATACATGACTCTTAAGGATTGAGGCTATTGGGTTTCCAACTTTTTGGCTTCTGCTGTAAACCCCTAAACCCTAGCCCTGCGCCTCCGACGTGAATTCGAGCGCCGCCGGGGCGAAGGCGAGCGTCGGCGTGGGGGCGTGCGCGAACGTGCCCGGCCCCTTGCACGGTTTGGCGGCTTAGGGCTTGAAGCTTATGCCAAACCAGGAGGCTCCATAGATACCACAATTATAGAAGTCGGTCTCCAAAACCAGACTAAGGATGGTCTTGGGGCATAATCCCGTAACATTAGTATGGAGCCTCTGGGTTATGTCTGGATGAGACAGCCATGCATGAAGGTCTGAACAGTTTTTGGGTCTGAACATTTTAGATTCTGGGAATCGTTAACTTTTGACAAGAGACCGCCTAGTAGTTAAAGGTTCTGCCCTGCCTGAACTTTCCATGCCAAAGCCAACTAGTTAAAGCCAAGGTTGACAGTGCGGCAGGTCCATTTAGGGCCTGCCGGGTCAGCCTGCATTGCCCTGTTGGCCCCCCACTGTAGCGCAGCTTCCTAGTCCGCCACGTTGTGCACCGCTCTCGTCTTGGCCCAGTCACCAAGCCAGCCTCCACCCAGGCCGGTGGTCCCGAACAGGCTGTCGAGGATGTTTTTTCCGTGTTGCTCGGCCAGGTAGTTCACGTGCACTCGCTGCTTTCGGGAAACGCAAAGGCTGTAGGCATGATGGTGCAGACACTCTGCAGCCCGGAAATGGGGGCCGCAATCGGTATGTATGTCATGTCTTCTTCTCTTGCTGCCTAAACCAGATCCCTAAACCCTAAACCCTAAACCGTAAATCATTATGAAAACAGGAGCCCTGGAAGCCCAAAACCCTAAACGCTCTATGCCCTAAATAGCCCTGTTCCATAATATCAAAGAAGGTTTTTGGAGTTATCATATTGTTGATGGTATTCTTCAAAATCTTTTCTTATTGGTAGACCGAATCATGATGCAAAGAAACCCCTTAAACCCCTCAACCCTTGTAGAAGCTTTGTAGGAACCCTGAACTAGGACGCTCAGTAACCTAGGAACTCCCTTTTGGTATTGGGTTACTTCATAAGGAACCCAGGACTACAAAAAGGAAAATGAGGGTACTACTGGGCATCCTAGTAAACCCCTAAACCCTAAAACCCTAAACCCCTAAACTCTGAACCCTAAACCCTAACCCCTAAACCCAAAACTATCATCACAAAGAAGGGCCCTGGAGAGGAAAGCCTCGAGTCGGAACGGGCGCGGCTGTCTGAACGGCCGCGGCCGTCCCCACGGAGCTTCTCCTGAAGATGACGGGGTTTAGGGCTTTGGGGGTTTGAGGTTGAAGGCTTAAGGTTTTAGGGTTATAAGCTTCTCCTGAAGACAAGGCTTCAAGGGGTTTAGGGCTTTGGGGTTTGGGGTTTAAGGCTTAAGGCTTTAGGGTTGTAGGCTGTTGGGGTTTAGGGTTTTGCGGTTTAGGGATGTGGGGTCTATAGGATTCGGGGATTTAGGGTTTTGGATTACACCTGGCTACTCGGCCCCCAATCCCCAAAGTCATAAAAGCCTTAATTCAGCCCTAAACCCCAAAGCCCTACAACCCCAAACCCCAAAACCCTGAAGGAACCCTTGAAGGAACATTCTAGAGGAACCCTAAACCCTTACAGAAAGGAGTGTTGTCAGGCACAGTTCTCGGCAATCAAGCATCGGATGCTTGAAATGTGAACTAGGTGGGGCTTTTAAAGCCCTTGAAAAATATTGGTAAATAAGATCCTCTTAAGCCCAATAAGGGAAGATATAAAATGTCCCAAAGCCCTACCTTGTGAAGTACTCAAGCATCGGATCCTGCAACCCGCATAGATCCCCGAAAGACAAAGGCGCCCCAAACCCCCAAAACCTGGTGGTTTAGGGTTCAGGGTTTTAGGGTTCAGGGTTTAAGGTTCAAGGTTTTAGGGTTTAGGGTCTTAGGGTTTCGTGGCTCCTGAATCATCTCGTTCACGAGGCGCTCAGCGGCCGCGCGACCCTTCTCGGAGGTTTTGGAACCTTCGGACACAAGTCTTCAGCTGTTTAGGCCCTGGGACCTCACCGTAAATTCCAGAGTACCCAATACCCCAAGGGTCCAAGGGACCCAATAGTTAGATACTCGCTTTTAGGATAGTAGTTATGTAGGTTCGGATATTTTTGAGACTATATGACTATTTGGTACTTGGACCCTCGGCGATAAGCATTGGAAACCCTGTACCCTGCACTTCGTTTGGATAGAAGGCGTTGAACCGTAGGACGTCGAAACACGAAACCCAAAACTCTCAACCTGTTACCTCCAAAATCCAAGACTCGGAAACACCTAAACATGATGTAGGTACATACCGATATTCGGGTGGTATGAAGGGCTTGGTAGGATGGCTCTCTCACAAGTCCACGGTTGTGGCTGTGTCACGAACGTAGAAGCCAGAAAGTTGGAACATCATGCTCCTCCTGCCCTTGAAGTAAAGTACGAGGGGATCCCAGCACTAATCATCCTAAACCCATGCTTCAACTTTTACTATAGACCGAAGCCTCTGATTAAGTAGAACTGGCATGAGAATGGTGCACGTCGTCAGAAGCCATGCAGCGGGCTTGATAGTCAAGAATCGCGCTCGTAGGGCATAGCATACTTCTCATGGATATATTACAGACCCCGTTGGAATAATCGATTGTACCTGAAGCCCCTCATTGGGGCGTAGCGTCACAACAATCGTTGCCAGCCCTTATAGAGGCTGTGAGTGGCATGCTCCACGGACGTCCATAGCAGATCTTCAGGGTTTAGGATTCACAATTTAGGGTTTAGGGTTTAGGGGTTAGGGGTAATAGGGTTTAGGGTTTAGGGGTTAGGGTTAGGGTTTTAGGCTTAGGGATTTACAAGGCTCCGGGAGATATCCTGGAACGGAGGTTCCTCCGTAAAGCGACCCGGCGGTTGAAGCCCAAATCTCTTGGTCCTTTCCTAGAGTCTCCATTGCAGTTGCTTTTTGGGTTAACCAGTTTTATAGTTAGGATCCTATAATAGGGATTTTGGTCAACCGAAAAAGGAACTACAATTCAGACTACAGGTGAGGGGCTAGCGTACATCAACAACCTGCCTTGGTCAGACGGAAGCTAGCTTGCCTGGTACTAGTTACTAGGACATATACACTCCCACATACAAATAATATACCCTTTTGTGTGTGTGTGTGTATATAAGAGATTATATATATATATATATATATATATATATATATATATATATACATACTGACATAGTCCTCAAAGACTAAAGGAATGCATCTATGCTACTTTACCCCAATTCTGCACAGATTGCCTCACAAGCTTGAGAAATATGCGTTTCATCAAACCTCACCCAGACAAGTTCTGCATCCCGGCCCTATGACCTTGACTTTCTTCTGAACCCCTCCTGAAAGTTAAACGTTTAGCCTCATTATTACAGTTAACATAGAAACCCAAAAAGTTAAAGTCCTAAGAGCCAACCAGAAGAAGGCCAAGTAGCCAGAAGCAAAATCTCGAGAACAGCCTACGCTCTACACAGCGACTCCACACCAAAGCGTACGAAAATGGCGGGGGTGGGGGGGGGGGACAGGGAGGTTGGGAGTTGGGGTAGCCATACATGAGCCCGCTTAGGTATGCAGATGCCGAATATTCCTAAACCAAACAGAGAACCGCTTCTGGACCCAAGCCTGAGTCCACCGAGAAGATCAGTAAGCGCTCCTGGCAGGGACTGGTGAGATTGGAAGGATTGGTTTGGGGCCGATGGTTGGGGATTTAATTAATCCAGTTCGGTATTCCGAGATGCGTTGGGTCTTACGAGAAGTGATCTGGCTGCTTCGCCATTTCCACTCTGCTTTGCTTGGTCGTGTACGGAAGCGTCAGGAATGCACCACAGTATACTGTTCAGAATCGCACGAGGCCACTAGGTCCTTGCACAAGAAGCATTGCCTTGCCCTACTGATCCTTGCGGACCGGTTCAACAAATGCTCCAAGACACATGGATGCACTTGCAGGTATTCTTGCATCGGTGAATCGCTGTACAGCATAGCTAACTAGAATCTTGCCATTTTAGTGGGCTTACATGGCAGGAAAGCGTTACATACTGAAAGTCGAAGGCGGCTGCGGGGTATAAGGGACGAATACTACTGACGGCGGGAGCTCCACCAGGAATGAAAGTCAACCACCATCAAAAGCTACATCTACCTCTTAACTCCCAAAACCCGAAAACACGACACCGCCCCCATACTGGAACTCGGGAGTCTGTTGGTGTGGCTACAGACCTTGCCAGGCTGGTAGCAGTTACATACGAAAAATACGACTTGTTCTCCTTGATGAACCACGTTCCATGAAAGCTTCGGTAAGCCTGAAACTGTTGATGGACAAAATCCTGCATGACCCTAAGGACTCTAAACTATGGGAACTATGGTATATTCCTGATAATGGGTAATGCAGGATTTTGTCCATCAACAGAAATTATAGAACAAAAACAAGAAACCCAGCAAGTGTAGAAGTTCCTGCGCTGCCTGAGCAGGTTGAGGAGTTCGGGGATTACGTGGCTCCGTATAACCTCAGAAGCCCGGCTACTTCGGTATTAGGTTGCTGCTCCAATGTACTCACAAGTAACTTCTTATATGCTATATACGTATTTGGGCTTCTCGGGGAAGCTAGGAAACCCTGAACCCGAGACCTTGAATCTTTCATCAGAACCCCGAGCCCTGAAGCCGAAAGCCTAATCCCAAACCTCATCAAAATAAGCTTCCAACCCTAAACCGTTTAGAGTTATCCTAAGCCATAGGTTCTTCAAAACAAACCTTCTTTAAAAATGAAACACCTATGCCTTTTCAAAATCAAGTTCGCCCCGTAGAGTTGCCCTCCCCAAAACCCTAGGATCCAGGCCTCGCCCCGCTTGTCCAAGGCCATGAACCTCTGATCTGTTCTGTGTGGTCTCTCTCTTTCTCTCTCTTTCTCTCTCTTTCTCTCTCTCTCTCTCTCTTTTCTCTCTCTCTCTCTCTCTCTCTCTCTCTCTCTCTCTCTCTCTCTCTCTCTCTCTCTCTCGCTCTCAAGCGGAATATTGCATGAATGCATAACTGTGTATGTACACACCTAGCTGTACTTGTATGTGTGTTTGTGTTGAAATTTAGATCTCTATCGACGGACTTGTTTGACTATTTGACTAGAAAATTAAAATATGCTTGCAGAAATGCATACAATGGTGTGTATGAAGAACTGGATACGGGTATGTTGCAATTTGCGATTGCTTTCACTGCTCGAGAAGTGGGGCCGAGTATTTCCTGTTGGGCTTAAGGTTTTGTTCAATCCCTCCCTGGCATTCGAAACTCGCATTTGGGAGTTTACGAAAATTAGGGGTACCTTATTTTGGGGTCCTTATAATAACGATCCTACTATTGAGGGTACTCTATTAGGGCCCCCTATGTTCGGAACTCTGACTTTGGAATCTTTTGAGGGATCGGCGGCTGAGGATCCGAACTGCTATAGGAGTACGTCGCAGTATGCCGGAAAGAAGACTTGTCTTTTTTCATGCACCTTAACAAATATTCTAGGTATATACCTTTAATATAGCTAGAACATATCCACTATATAGCCCATTATAGGGTAGGGGTCCCCATTAAGAGTCCCTCCCTTTCCCCTTTGAACAGTTCTTGATCAGGCCAAAGAGCATATACGTTCCCGTCTCAAGCTCCATTCGGCGCAGCTCGCTACCGCGGTTGCCGGTCACCCAGCCTCGCAGAAGCTTTCGTGTACTATAAGGACCTAAATAAATAAATAATTACCTATAGAATTTTGGGGGGTTATTATTATATCTACAGTATAACGGGCCCCAAATCCCTATTCTAATTATTAAGGCCCCTACATTATGCAGGGTTGGGGAGTTGCAGCAACTGGCAATCTGTTGTGCAGGAGTCGAGTCTGGACAATCATTCGGATCTTCTTCGCATACCTTACAACCCTAAATGCCGAGCGCCTGCTGGACGAAACAGGGGAAGTGCTGAAAGTCTGCAGTGTAGGATATCGGGCCGAAGGGACTGGCATTCATTCACATGTGGCGGATTTCAGAACCGGTTGTACACACCGAAAAGCACCAGAAGTGCCGCCTGAAACCAACTCCCCACCCCAGAAAAACTGCTCCTTCGCCGTTCAGAGCGCCCCCAGCTTCGTAGCCGAAAACCCCCTAAGCTGTCCCGACAACGCGACAGTGTCTCACATCCAAGTCACTATGTCCAGACTCTCAACAGTATGGGAATTCGTAGACATACACTTCTACATCGATAGGCACTTCACACTGCCGATGTCCCGGCTTTTGCCCTCCCCAAAACACCAATATCCCTTCGGTTTATCCAAGGGTAAAAGGGGGGACCCTTAATAAGGACCCCTAGGTGTATACCCTTAACATAGCTATTATATACCCATTATATAGTACATTATAGGGTAGGGGTCCCCATTAAGGGTCCCTCCTTTTTCCCTTTGAGTTTAGGGTTTTGGGATGAAGGAGCAGGCTAATTGAAGGCACAATGCTTTAATGAAGAGCTTCGGAAGTGTCAGGCTTGCACAGAACTCCTGGCCTTTGCAGTTCTCTGGGATAAAGACCTGGCAAGGCTCGGCATCTTCGTTTTTGCATATAGCCCTTCCTACAAAAGAAGACTGTTCAAGCCAATGAGCCCCATGAGCGTAGCCATTAAAGCCGTGCGCTCCAATGAGTCTCGTGTTTATGGTTTGAGAAGTCAAAACAAGGCTTGCAGGTTGAGTGGGCCAACGACGGGCTGATAGAACACAGTGGAAAATCGCACTCTGGAGCCATTAATTAAGTTTTGCTGTCGTGCGCCGATGTCGGACTTGACATTCACGTGGCGGGGCTAAGGGTGGAAGTCTGGTCGAGAGCTGGTAACTCGAGCAGCAGGCTCGGCGGCTGATACTTTAGGGCCTTAATAATTCACTACACTATTTTGTTTTGGGGGGGAGGGGGGGTCCTTATTGTAATTATTGTATAGTAGGCCCAGAAACCCTATTCTAATTATTAAGCCCGCTGCAGTACTTCTACACTCGGAACCTTGGGCCAAGTTTTGCGGGCCTGCCCTTTCCATGCCATGCTGCTGACCTCTTCACGTGTTGCTGCTCGCCGTCGTCTGTGTGTGTGTGTGTGCGGGTTACTTGAAAAGCCCCTGTGTCATCCCTTGTGTAGACACTGCCGACTACTAGGGACACTCATGTCGACAGAATCTCCATCAAGCAAGGTCATGGAGATGGCGCATGCGGTATATACATACATATATATATATATATATATGTTTGTGTATATATACATACCCAACAGTCCACATACCTATCAAGTTTATTCATTGGCCTCAGCTGCAAGTACTGTAAGGACAATGTATAAACTGTCAGGACAATGTATAAACTGTATAAGTACAAGGAACCTTGGGGTGTCAGGGATGACAGTCGTCATAGTCACCATCCGGCACCTACAAAACCATTTCGAAAATCCGACACACCTCGGAATTCGACTCCAAATCTTTCACAAAGGGTTGAACCATCAGACGCCGGGCCGGCCTCCGTGACATCGTCACGCTCGGAAATGTTGTTCACAGTTACCTGAAAGGCTTCGCACGAATCCTACAGGCTAAGCCCTGAGCCATGAACCGAACTACCGATCTGGCAGCTTCGGATGTCCATCTGGGATACAGGGGTGCACATGTCACGTATAATCATATAGTTTTATAGTCCTCAGTTTGAAATCACCTGCGACAGAATCAGGTGTCTTTTTAATGCCCGCAACTTGCAGGAATGTTTATGTTTTCTGTGGAAACTATGGAAGCGTCAGCACACTAAAGAAAGCTAGAAAGGGCTAGGCAAAGCTAGGAAGGGCTATGATACACAAACTATTTCCGGGGATGGGGTCTGTTTTGAAAGGCCTCGCACAAGCTCGCAAAAGCAGCGTGCGTGCTACGGTTTCGTGGGTTGTAGCGATTGTCACCGATGCATCAACCCCACCTGAAGGCAAGGAATACGACCAGAGACAAAACCACTTGCATGGCTTCGCAACTTCATGCTCATCCCGCGACTTGCCAAGAGTTGCCATATACAGAAGCGGTAAAGCCCTCTACAATCCAACAAAACCAACAGAAAAACACTTCCTACAAGCATCAACCCCAAGCTTACGACATCGTCTGTCACGGAGTATACTCTCAGTTCACAGGGCAAAGAACCTAAGCCTGTCTAAACGAAGCCAAGACAGCAATCCCACCAACCCACCATCTAAGACTCAACTGGGTGGTACATGGCCTTAAGGGCAGGGGTGCTGAGGCGTAGAAACGATCGAAATCCGGAGCCTATACCAGAAAATGAAGCTCAGATTTTTGTCAGGGGGGGAACCGATGGTACATCCAGACTTCAATCGGTTCCAGAGCTGATTTGGCCCTAGTGAAGCACAGCGTTCTTCGCCGGTACGATACCGATAAAGCAAGACTTGCCCTGATCTCGGAAGGCCCCAACCCTGAAACCCAAACCGGATAAGCAGGCCTGACCCCGTCGCTGTTGGAGGAGCCAGTCGAGGAATTCCTAGAGGATCAGAGATGGAAGGAGCAGCTCAGACCCCCAAACTCTACCTTGACCCAGAATAACCTACCTTTGTAGGGTTCCTTATTATGATTTCTTTATATAAGTCCTTACAAAGGTAGGTTATTCCGGGTTAAGGTAAACCCTAAACTCCAAACCCTAAACCCTAAACCAAGATTGCGGAGTGTCAGGATCGAGGCAGCCCCGCGGCGCGCACGTGTGTAGTTACTTGTGTCCCCGAGGGTTTTCAATGCTCGTTCCGGGGAGTTCAGCACTCATGGCAACATTGGCGAGGGGAGCAAGATAGGACATCAAGGACGGCGCCACGGACTCAAAGTGTCCGGTGCAAGACGATTATGAATGCTTTGCATTTAGGAACTTTGCTTTCTGGTGATGCGATGATGGCTACGATGGTGCTTGTGATTAGATGATGATGGTGGTGATAAGAACAATACTACCAATGATGATGATTTATGACGATCACAATGGTAATGATAATGACGATCATGATGATGGTGGTAGCGATGATGATGATTTCTGCTTGTTGGAATGTTTAACTTCGATTTTGCAAGTGTACTATGTCGATGGTGACACGGACGACAGCCCAGGCCCTAGCAGCAAACTCTGCAAGAGCTGAACCCAACACTTAAGACATCACATCCCACTGGACAGCTCCTTCGCGCGGCGACGCTCTGCCATCGTGCCGGCCAGGAAGCAAACGTGGCCGACGTACCTTGGGTGCAGTGTCCAGATCTTGGTCCTGATTTCAATGATGGCACTGATGCTGATGATGATGATGACACTGATGATGATGACGACGATCGACGATGATGCCGCTAATGCTGATGAAGACGATGATGATGAGAATGGATGATTGACGAAGGACGATGGATGATGATGATGATGATGATGATGATGATGTTGATGATGACTATGACGATGATGGTGATCAAGACATGAACGCAGCAAACAGCAACTAAACCATGGGTTGCAATCAGAAAAACGGCGTCTGCCGTCAGGACAGCTGCTTTGCTAGTGCTGACAATTGTTATTCGTCGTCGTCAACATCGTCAGAGGTCGAAGCCTGCTCGTCGTCAAACCTGAAACACAGAATTTCCGACTTACAATGAGCCCCAAAAGCATCTGACTCTAACAGCCCTGGACCAAAACATCCACACCCACACGTCCAAACAACATGACAATGACAAAAACAATAAACCAATAAAACAGGCGAGGTGCTGGATGATGCAGCCCGAAGCGAGAGCCAACCTTGCTTTCTCACAGAAGTGGGTTACAAAGAACATTTACAACATGTGCAGCCTACAGGGCATATTCTTGGAGTCAGATGTTGCTAATTTTGATACACAGCACTTAACTTTTTCATGCCGCTCAAGAAGTGTAAGCATTGGCATAGTAATCTTACAGTCTGACACCAGAAGTACACCGGCGCGCGCCACGACACTCAGCACTACACTACACCCTCCCTCCATCGCACCCACCTAAACGCCGGACATACCGAAGTCCTTTGAGCCTAATCCGTTCTACCAGTACCAACCACTGAAATTCTATAATGTAGGGGCTTTGAAAATTCGAACAGGGCTTGGGGAGATACAGAGAATAGGGAACCTCCTCATAGTATTGGTACTGATTGAGGCCCCTAAACTAGACCATTTACGCATCAACCATGAACCCTAAGCCTTCCCTATGCCTCCAGGGACCTTATTATTGTGTCCTTAAGGGGTCTAGGGCCCTAACTATGAGGTCCTTGCAGGGATAGGGTTAAGCCTTAAACAACAAAAAAGCCATCCCCTGAAGCTCTGAAGGAGCCAAAAGTCTGAAACCAAAACTGTCGAACCCAGAACCCAAAACCCTGTCCTGCTTTAGGATTTAGTTAAAGTTTAGGCTTAAGTTGGGGTTTGAGTAGAATTTAGGGTTTAGTTAGGGTTTACTTAATGTTTGGGGTTAAGGGGGTACCAAACCCAAACCCAGCCAAGACGGTTTCGATGGCGAAGGGACTTCTTCCTTGTGCTGCCCTGCTTTCCCAAGGCGTAGCTGAGCTCGTCATCCTGTTCCAAGTCTGGGTGCTTCTACCCTGCCAGGCTCTTTGAAGGATCTAGAGACTAGGGATTAAAAAAGGGGTCTGGAATTAGTTTGGGATTTTTTTTTTTTTTTTTTGATTTTTTTTTTTGTGGTTTGCTTGGCCGATCCCCGTGGAGGGTTCATCGGGGACGTAGAAAATTTGCACCGCACCACAGCGCCAGCCCTTCGACGCGCAGGATCCCTGTGGAAGGTTCATCGGAGTTTCCTTAAGATACAGCAATTCCTGAATTTCCCAAGGGAAAACATTATTTTCCTATGGATTTTCTTTCATTTCCTTAGGATCTGATTGGTTTTTCCTCGGGGAAACACGATTTTCCTACGGATTCCGTGGTATTTCCTGAAATTTTCCCTGGTTTTTCCTAGGACAAACACCATTTTTCTATTACCTATGGCATTCGTGTCATTTCTTCAGGTTTTCAGAAGGAAAACATACGTTATCTTTGGTTGTTCCTCGGGAAAATCAAATTTTCGTTGCAATTTCGCATTAGGACGGAATTCGTGTTGTAGCTGTTGCTGGTATTCCGCTTCATCACCTATCTTAAACACACCCGCTCATTTGGCGATTCTGGTTAGCGGGGGGGTTGGGGGGGGCGCAGCCCCCCCCCATTTGCAGACACAACGCTCACATGATGGGTTTCGAAAACACTGTTTGAATCAAGCTTGCACGGCTCGAAAAGCGCGACGGTGGGTCTTTCGTTCTTCCGTGCCTGTTCGTGTCTCTTCTTCCGTCAGCATTCTATAACATAATATAACATAGTAAACCATAAGAACGACATAGGATGGTTCGACATCACAAAAACCGTGTGACATTTTCTGACATAACAGAACCTTGCTTCTTAATAGCATCTAATAAACATAACAAAAGACGACAATACAATATAACAGAAGATAACATAGAACAAAACAAGATCTTAGTTTATAGTGTAGTACATTGTAACATAGTACAATATAGTTTTTATATATAGAACATAATATTTGGTATATAATATAACATCAGGTTACATTATGCTAAATATTTTAGGGTCCATTACGATATTATTGCATATTCGATTGAACTATGTAGTATCCTATTGCTTGTATCTTTGTTTCTGTGATTCTTTCATGTTCTTTCTCTTTCGTATTTTCCAACTTTGCCTGTTTATTCTGGATTTATTTCTTTCTTTCGCTCGTTCAGTTCTTTTATTTCTTTCTGGTGTTCTTTCTTTATTCATTTCATACTCCCTTCCTTCCTTTCTTTCTTGCTTTCTTTTTCATTTATTTCGTTCTTTTTCTCGTCCTTTCTTTCTTTCGTCCTGTCTTCGTTTCTTTCTTTCTTTTCAGATACAGCAATTCTTGAATTTTTCCAAGGGAGAACACTGTTTTCCTATGGATTCTCTTTCATTTCCTAAGGATTTGCTTGGTTTCTCCTCTGGAAGACATGATTTTCCTACGGATTCCGTTGTGTTTTCCAAGTTTTCCTTAGTTTTTCCTAGGAAAAACACCATTTTTCTATTACTTATGGCATTCGTGTCATTTCTTCAGGTTTTCAGAAGGAAAACATACGTTATCTTTGGTTGTTCCTCGGGAAAATCAAATTTTCGTTGCAATTTCGCATTTAGGACGGAATTCGTGTTGTAGCTGTTGCTGGTATTCCGCTTCATCACCTATCTTAAACACACCCCCTCATTTGGCGATTCTGGTTAGCGGGGGGGTTGGGGGGGGCGCAGCCCCCCCCATTTGCAGACACAACGCTCACATGAATCAAGCTTGCACGGCTCGAAAAGCGCGGCGGTGGGTCTTTCGTTCTTCCGTGCCTGTTCGTGTCTCTTCTTCCGTCAGCATTCTATAACATAATATAACATAGTAAACCATAAGAACGACATAAGATGGTTCGACATCACAAAAACCGTGTGACATTTTCTGACATAACAGAACCTTGCTTCTTATAGCATCTAATAAACATAACAAAAGACGACAATACAATATAACAGAAGATAACATAGAACAAAACAAGATCTTAGTTTATAGTGTAGTACATTGTAACATAGTACAATATAGTTTTTATATATAGAACATAATATTTGGTATATAATATAACATCAGGTTACATTATGCTAAATATTTTAGGGTCCATTACGATATTATTGCATATTCGATTGGACTATGTAGTATCCTATTGCTTGTATCTTTGTTTCTGTGATTCTTTCATGTTCTTTCTCTTTCGTATTTTCCAACTTTGCCTGTTTATTCTGGATTTATTTCTTTCTTTCGCTCGTTCATTTCTTTTATTTCTTTCTGGTGTTCTTTCTTTATTCATTTCATACTCCCTTCCTTCCTTTCTTTCTTGCTTTCTTTTTCATTTATTTCGTTCTTTTTCTCGTCCTTTCTTTCTTTCGTCCTGTCTTCGTTTCTTTCTTTCTTTTCAGATACAGCAATTCTTGAATTTTTCCAAGGGAGAACACTGTTTTCCTATGGATTCTCTTTCATTTCCTAAGGATTTGCTTGGTTTCTCCTCTGGAAGACATGATTTTCCTACGGATTCCGTTGTGTTTTCCAAGTTTTCCTTAGTTTTTCCTAGGAAAAACACCATTTTTCTATTACTTATGGCATTCGTGTCATTTCTTCAGGTTTTCAGAAGGAAAACATACGTTATCTTTGGTTGTTCCTCGGGAAAATCAAATTTTCGTTACAATTTCGCATTTAGGACGGAATTCGTGTTGTAGCTGTTGCTGGTATTCCGCTTCATCACCTATCTTAAACACACCCCCTCATTTGGCGATTCTGGTTAGCGGGGGGGTTGGGGGGGGCGCAGCCCCCCCCATTTGCAGACACAACGCTCACATGATGGGTTTCGAAAACACTGTTTGAATCAAGCTTGCACGGCTCGAAAAGCGCGGCGGTGGGTCTTTCGTTCTTCCGTGCCTGTTCGTGTCTCGTCTTCCGTTAGCACTCTATAACATAATATAACATAGTAAACCATAAGAACGACATAAGATGGTTCGACATCACAAAAATAGTGTGACATTTTCTGACATAACAGAACCTTGCTTCCTATAGCATATAATAACATAATAAAAGACGACGATACAACATAACAGAAGATAACATAAAACAAAACAACATCTTAGTTAATTTATGTCATTTCGTCTTCTTTATTTCTCCATTTTTGTTCATTCGTTATGTCTGTATTATTTGCTTTTCTTTGTTTCTAACTCTCGTTCGTCCTTTCATTGTGTTTTCTTTTTTATTTCCTTATAGCTTTCTTTATTTATCTATTTGTGTATTTTTGATTTCTTTCTTTCCTTATAACTATGCTTTATGTATTTCGTTCTTTCTTGCTTTCTTGCTTTCTTCCGCTCTTTCTTTGTTTCGTTCTTTCTTTCTTTATGTTTCTTTCTCTCTCTCTCTCTGTCTTTCTTTCTTTCCTTCGTTCTTTCTTTCTTTTTTTTTCTCTCTCTCTCTCTCTCTCTCTTTCTGTGTCTTCTTTCCTCCGTTACCCCCCCCTCCTTTCGTGGATACCTGTTTAATTTTTTTGTGATCCTTATTTAATTTCTTTTTGATCCTTATTTTATTTTTTTGATCCTTATTTAATTTGTTTTTAACCCCTATCCCGTGGTTGTGGTTGTGGCTGTGGCAGAGGACTAGGGGACCGCATGCACCAGGGGACCAGGAGACCACGGGACCAGAGGACCAGCAGACCAGAGGACCAGGGGACCACAGGACCAAGGACCAGAGGACTAGGGGACCGCGAGCAGAGGACCAGGGGACCACAAGACCAAGGACCAGAGGACTAGGTGACCGCATGCACAAGGGACCCTTGGCCGCACCTCGCAAACAAGGGTAGGCCGCACCTTGGAAAAAAAAAAACATGGCCCCTATCCCGCTTTACTGACCTAAATTCGCCTCGGCTCGGCTTAGGGTTGAGGGCGTGACTTAAGGACTGATTTATGAGGCTCTCTATGCCGAAGAAAAAAGCCAAGAAGCCGAAAAGCCAAGAAGCCAGAGGCCAAGAAGCCAGGGAAGCCGAGAAGCCAAGCCAAGCGCGCACACAAGCCAAAAAAAAAAAAATGCCCCCCCCCAAAAAAAAAAATCCTAAAATAAATACGCCTCCTTAAAAAAGGATATCCGAGCTTTCGCGAGGGCTCCATTGCGAGGATGATACTGTTGGACGTCTGGCTGGTTCTAAGGTGCCTCGCTCGTGACGGGTTTTGGTCTTGGGGCTTTGCGCTAGAGGCTGAGGGCTTGGGGTTAATGTTGAGGACTTGACATTGGAAGGTTAGGTCGTAGCTTAGCATAGGCTGTTCAAAACACTATAGGTTTTTAGAAAACATAGGTTTTAGGTTGTTTTGAAAAACATCCCACTCGTGCGCAGCAAGCATGGCCAGCTTGGAAGCATTCGGACCATCGTGATGCTAGCGTGCAGACATGAGAAGGATCAAGGAAGCCTTGCAAACAGCGATGTCCCTTCGTTGTACAGGATTCCTCAGATCTTTTGGCCCGGCCCACAAACTCAGGGATTAACAGACCAAGGCTTTGCAGCTGCTAGGCATGAACTCATACTTTAGCAAAATGAAAATGATCATAAGAGGTTATTCAAAGCAGTATTTGTTATTAAGTCAGACACCTGTGTTAACCCTAGACTGGATTCCTCAACACCCAAACCTGAACAAAAACTTGTGGAACCCTCGCAAAACACAATGCCCCACTCCTCCCGGTAAGAGCCCGTATTCCATCCTGAATCTTGAAGCTTGCGCTGCAAGCTCGGAACTTTAAAGCCTAGCAAGCCTCAAAAAGCAGACCCTAAACCCAACCTAGAACCCGAACTCGTATAGAACCCTCCCAAAACCTGTTCTAGTCAGAGCCTTGAAAATGGCGGAACAACAAAAAAACAAAATCCCATCTGTGCACAAATCCGGAACCCCAAACCCCAAGCCTTCAACCTCGTGCCCCCAACCTGAAACCCCACACCGCATACCCCAAAACCTAAATCCTATAATCCAAAAAACCCTAAACCCCAAACCCCCCCCTCCAAAAAAAAAAAGGGCACCTTATAAACCCTAAGCCCCAAACCCTAAACCCTAAGACCCTAAGCCCTAAACCTCTAAAACAGGGCACCTTATATACCTAAACCCTAACCCCCTCCCCCCCCAACAAAAAAAACAAAAAAAACTGTCACCTTATATACCCTAAACCCCAGCCAAAAAACAAGGCGCCTTATAAACCCTAAACCCTAAGACCCTAAGCCCTAACCTCTAAAACAGGGCACCTTGAAGATCATCATTTGGGGTATGTGTAATCCAAAAAGCCTTGGACCCTAAACCCTAGCGAACAAAAAAAGGCGCCTTGAAGATCATCCGGTCCGTCGCAAAGCCCTTGGAGTCGCTAAACTTCTCACGGATGCCGCGTGTGTACCTGTGATGTGTCTAGGATTTTAGGATTCCTTTTTTTAGGGTTTAGGGTTTAGGGTCTAGGATTTTAGGATTCCTTTTTTTGTAAAGATTTAGGGAAATTTAGGGGTGGGCTTAGGGGGGGGGTTCCTGTGAAAGCGATCTATAGTGTCTAGGATTTTAGGGCTTCCTTTATAGGGATCTATAGTGTCTGCGATTCAGCAATTCGGATTTGGGGATTAGGAATTAGGGTTCAAGGGTTTAGGGTTTTCGGGTTATTGTTTCCAGGCTTCTGGGTGTAGTATTGGAGAAGGGGTTTATGAAAGGCTTCAGTCTTCAGGGCGTGGTCGGATTTTCTTTGGACCTGTCGGGTCTTCGAATCGCAAGTTTCGTGTGCGCTGCGCAGGCTCCATATCAAACCGCAAGCCTTCAACCTAAGGAGCCCAAACCCTAAACCCCATCACTGGCAACCCTAATAAGCTGGGGCCCTAGACTGCACCACGCAAACCCTCGACCCTAAATCCTAATAACCCTAGAACCCTAAACCCGAAACTTTAAAGCGTATTATGTAGAACCCTAAACCAAAAGCCTGTAAACCTTACCATACGACCGTAAACCCCAAGCCTCAAACCTCAGAGCCCCAGAATGCGCCAGACGAAACCGAGGAAGTGGCTGTCCAGGAGCTTTCTCCTCCACGGAGCTCATGACCTTCAACTCCTGGAAGCCGGGTTATGGGTTTAGGTTTTTTTTTTTGCGGGGCTTGGGGTTTAGGGTTTAACAGGGGTTCCTACTGAAAGAATCCCTTCTCAGGGTTCCGACACCTACGGGATACTCGATTGATAGCGACGTTCATATGAGGACCGTAAGAACCGGAATAAGGTTGTGGGTTCCAGTACCCCATAATATAGGAGCCTTGATAATTAGAATAGGGTTTTGGGGCCTCATTCATAAGGAACCACCAAAATCGTATTGGTATTTCTTTACCTATAGTCTCCATTGTAGTTCCTTTTTTGGTTAACCAAAATCTCTATTATAGGGTCCTAACCAAAAAAGTGGATAACCAAAAAAAGGAACTACAATGGAGACTATAGGTAGGCCTCTACATTAGGCGGCTTGCGAGAGTTCCGGTCTTGAGCTGGCAAGTCTGTTAAGAAAATCTGTGTAGGCTGTTATCCCAAGCCTGAGAGCCTCTGCCCAGGGCTTCCCCACCTTGCAACACTTTCGACGATGTTACGACCATGTTCGAAAGCAACAAAAAAAGGCAGAAACCCCCAACTCCTGAAGCCTAAGTCCTAAACCCTCAACCCAAAACCCTTCGGGACTGAAGCCGCAAAAGCCAGAAAAGCCTGCACAAGCAACCCCTATACTATATTGTATAGGGTTTAGGGTTCAGGGATGCTTCGGTTTTAGGGAACCATCAGCCTCAAACCCACCAAGCCTTGTAAAAGCCCTTCAAACAACAAGCAAGCTGAGAACTAGCAAAGCCAATCCTCAAACTCTTAATAATAACATTACTCGTTGAACTCTGAACCCTACTTTTGAGGGAAACCTTACCCGACACTGCTGAAAAGCACACTCTCTGAGCACACAACTAAATCCTAAACACTAAACCCTCAACCCTAAACCCTAAACCCTGAACCTTAAATCCTAAACCCTAAACCCTACATCCTAAACATTCCTCTAGACCCTAAACCCTAAACCCCATCCTACACCTAAAAGCGCCCCGTCCGAGCCCCCCGCCGCCCCGCGGCGGCCGCGCTCGGGCCCGAGGATGGCCAACTGCTCCCCTCGAGAGGCCGCTATCGCGGGTTTCGGGGTTTGGGAGCTTGTGGGGTTCCGACTTCGGGTTTAAGGGTATAGGGCTTTAGGGTCTTAGGGTTTAGGGTTTATTATAAGCTTTAGGGTTTAGGGTTTCGGGTTCAGCAGCTCTGAAAGAGGGTTTAGGGTTTAGGGGTTTGAGGTACCGAGCACCATGCTTGCCTGCCCCCTCTAGTACTTAGCTGCTGAGGGACAGGCTGGGTTGAACATTTGAACATGTAGGGTTTAGGGATTTAGGGTTTCAGGTCTCAGGTCCAAGGTTTAGGGTTTAAGGTTTCGGGATTCAGGGACAAGGATTGAGGGTTTAGGGCCTAGCTTACGATGTAGGGTCTGGGGTTTAGGGAGTTCGAACTTCGGCTTGAAGGTTTAGGGGTTTTGGGGGTTTAGGGGTTCAGGGTTCTACCCATGGGTCCTTTTTGGTGTCCTACGGGCTGTTGTAGAGGCTTAAGCGGTTCTTTGCTGGAGGTTCTAAATGGCTCAACAAGGTTGTATAGGGTATAGGTCTTTTGAATCAAATGCTGGTGACTTTGTGCGTGTTCCACAGGAGGAGTGCAGTGCTGATACATTTTTCGGCACACTTTTTGCCATGACCAGTGCCCGCACGACAGTTTCGCTAACTTGGCTTGCGCAACTGTTGCGAGTCTTGTCATTTTTCGGTTGTGGGTGTAGGATTTGTGATTGCTTGTGTTTGGAAGGCAGAAGGGGGGAGAAGGGCGAGAAGGGCGGCTCTTAGAGGGTTTGTTTGTTCAGCTTTCGGCATTCATGACCCGCGCAATCTTTGGGTTTGGACTCGCAGCCCAAGCCCTAAAAATGAGGTCAGGAAGGCTCTGTTGTGTAAACCAGGAAAGCTTTTCTGTGTCCCTTCTGACATCTAAACCGCAAGCCCTTACGGCAGAAAGGCTCCATCAGGCCACGCCAAGTCGCCAAAACCTCCGCCACCACGACGATCCCCTTTTCCACCACCTGCCATGCATGCAGGGATTACTTTGGATTCCGGGCTGGCTCCTCCGGTTTGGGACCAGGATTCGGACGATAGGGCTTTCGTGGGTCGGGATGTTCAGGGGTCAACCGTTCAGACAAACAGTTGGGCCTTACGGGCTTTTGGATGCAGCACTAGTGTCAGCGCCTTTGTAGCATTAAACACATGGGGGATGTTCTTCTGGCCATTTTCTGGGCGGAATGCCCTCCGAGGGCTATTCCTTGAAAAGGAATGGAGGAATGGAGTTTCGGGTTGCGGGGTATAGGGCTTAGAGTCTTAAGAGTTTAAGGTTTCGGACAAATGAGGTGCAATCAAAGAACACGGATTCAAACTCAAAGCATAGCGAAACGGCAACACCATGCTTGTACATACGACCAGCTTCACCCTGGCATGGCTGAGGCAGTTGGAATTTCACCCGATTCCCACTGATCCTGAGAACTTTGGGCGGCATCGCGATGTGTAGTTGTGAAGATGTCAGAAGTTGTGAAACTAACAGTGGAGTTCAATGGCAAGTATGGCATTTAAAAATTCAGTGTAGGTTCAATTCGACAGTAATCAAGCGAAGCTTGACACCGCTGGTCAACTCGCGCACAAGGGACACAAGCCCTTGCTGTTCGGAAGACTCTGCCACGCCCGTCTCGTCTCATTGCGGATCCTTTTCATTCACATTTTCTTTACTGTATCATACTCTATCTACATAGTGCAGTCCAATGGAATACCATGCTTAATTACTTAGTCGCCCGACCAACCTGTCAATTCGTCTCACGTCCTAAGGGACTAGAAAGTGCTTGTAAAAATCCTATAATGAATCAAACCCCCAAATCTAGAGCCTGATCAACAACTCTCAGAAATCTCCAAGACCTCATAACGCTAAAACTCGACCCTGAATCATGTAAGACCAAAATATCCAAAACTCTGCCTGTGCCAGGCTTTGTCATGAAGAACATCAGAGTGCCCCACTCTTCCTGCATCATGAGTGGACTGTTTCGCGAAGGCTTTGTTTTGAAGGGGTTAGTTTAGGGCTTAGCTAAGCATCCACGTTACAGAACCGACCGACTGACTTCAGCAGCTTCCCTTTACAGGAACTCTTGTGGGTGGTTGTCAATATTAGGGTCCCTTTTTTGGTCCTTCTTATAACACGGCACCTAATATTTTGGGTACCCAAAAAGGGACCATAATTTTGACAACCCCCCGTATGGGCCCCAGACCTTTACCCCGAAACCGTTGTACCCAACTCGGGGAGCTCGACGTCGGAGCGGGCCGACGGCTTGTTCATGAGCTCGACGTGCCGCCGCCAGGCCTCAGAACAGAGCATGCGCCGGATGTGAGCAATGCGACGGTACTCCTTGTGGTGGCGCTCCATCTCCGCCTGCGACGCGCCCTGCGGCGGGCGGCGGGGCAAGATCGGAAAGCCAGCGCCGGTCAAGGGGTCGGCGTCTGGGAACATCTCCTGTGGCGTCGGTGTCCTCGAACGGCGTGAGGACCCCGACGGGAAAGATGTCGCCGGTGGTGCCGTGGGCGGTGCCGCCGGCATCGCCTTGACCAGCGGCTGCGCCACCTTCTGCCGGGCCTCCTCCTCAAACTGGCGCCTCATCTCCTCGGCGATCCGCTCCTGGTAGTCGGAACCGCCGAGGCTTCTGCCCTCACAGATCTGTCGACCTCTTACGTATGTAACCTTATGGGCCGTACCCTATTTTGGGGTCCTATAGAATACGGATCCTACTATTTCGGGTACTATATTAGGGTCCCCTATTTTGTCCCCTATTTTCGGAGCCTCCCATAAAGCGTCTTGTAAGGGAGCCCGAAGCCCTGGTCTGGGCTTACAGATCTGTCGACCTCTTGCGTTTGTAACCTTATGGGACCTTAAACCCTAAATCCTAAACCCCTAAACCCCTAAGCCTTGACCTACACCTTATGGGACCCTAACCCCTAAACCCCTGAACCCCGAAACCCCTAACCTACACCTTATGGGACCTCTATAAGTCTTACAAGGGGGAGCCCATGGGCCCTGATCTGTCGACCTCTTACGTGTATAACCTTCTGGGACCCTAAACCCTATAAATCCTAAACCCCTAAACCCTAAACCCTATAAGACCCCTGTAAAGCATCTTGCAAGGGAGCACCTAGGCACTGGTTTTGGGGGTTGAAGAGCTTCGGGCAAGAGACTATGGGAGCTTTGGAGCAGAGATTCCCAGACCTTCCAAAATCCCTTTAAATAAGGAATATACCTTAAACTATAAAGGGATCCCTAATATGAATTAAGGTATAATACCTTAGTTGATAATGATTAGGGATCCTAAGGTATATACTCCTTAATTAAGGGATTTTGGAAGGTCTGGGTTGTACCGGGCTCAGGGCTTGGGTTTCGGGCATGCAGTTTCGCGTTTTCCAAAGGATCCTAGGTACTGTTATGAGGAATACCTTCCCAAACCATAATTGTAATTCCCAATTACAGAAACTCCACATTCTACTACATAGGTACTTCGGACCCATTTGGGTTTGAGCTTTTGGGAAGTTCGTAGAGCTTCCGGGCTTGACGCAATCCTGAGGAGCTTCAACCCAGTCCCGAACCCCACCATCCGGCCTACATTTGAAGCCACCTCAGAGGCTCTGGGGACGGCTATAACATGGTTTAGGGTTTTGGGTTTAGGGTCATAATATGGTTTAGGGTTTAGGGGCATGAGGTTCAGGGAATAAGTGCTTAAATGTTGGGGGCTAGAAGTAAATACTTGCTTATCACCCTTCTTACGGATTCCCGTCAAATGTCAAATGTCCCCAAACCCATGAAGACCCATGAAATCCTTATTCGACGATGCCCTAGACCCTATACTTCGCGAAATTCACAAAACACAACATCCGGGACTCCTGAAATAAAGCTAAACCCCTGGCTGAGACCTGAAGGCACAAATAGACGAATCTATTAAACTACATGTCTAAAAGTTATATGTATTTCTGATTTGTCTATTATAAATATATTTCTTTTATACATACAAACACGCAAATCCTGGCCTCCATACCGCCCAGGGCCGCTCGGCGACTGCCGGTCACGTAGCCAATGCAGTCGCTGGGAATATCCAAGACCTGCAGCGTAGTCTTAGGGTTTGGGGTTCAGGGTATGCGGTTTAGGGCTTAGTGCTTGGGAGTAGGGATAAAGCTTAGGGTTTAGGGTTCAGAGTTTAAGGGGTTAGGGCTTTAGCGAGTTGCTCCGTATCTATAACGCTAACAGGGTTCTATGGAGATTACTACAATAGCTCTGTAACGGCTCTATCGGGTTACCAGAAAAAAGTCCATAATACTATAAGGCGCTCAAGCTCACCCAAAAGCCGGACAAAGTACCTCCATATCATTCAACCCTCCAGATTTCACCCCTCGACTGGGCTGTTCGTAGAAAGCCCTCACAGAAATCAAGTCTGGCTACCGGCTACTTCCTGAGAAAATAATACGTTAGAACCCACCATAACTGTCAAAAGCAACGCACCCGAACCCACAGACCATGACCGCATTTCATGCCAGGCAAGGGCGACTTATGCCGAGGCCTCAGGCTACTAGTGCTTAGGCTGTCCATCGGTGCTACAAGCTTCTACGGATCCCATATACCGAAAGACCCTGGAAAAGACACCACAGAGACTGGTACAAGGGCCTATAGACTTGATGTACTCATATCCCCCTGCAGCCCCTGTATCATACGTATGAGATACCTCCAAGCAGCGTTCCAATGATTAGTTGCTGGGGCATGTATAAAGCCTTTCCCCTTAAGCCTGTGTTATAAGGAATTAAGTAGTTACAAGGTCTGAGAAAGAACCACTAAAACCATACGAATTCCAAACCACAGACGAACAGAACAATGTGTCATCCCACCAAGCAAAGTCTTCGACACTGAATTGTACAGCCCCACCTGCCCGCACATCGACATCTGACACAGAATCCGAACACCAGGAAACACAAACATGTATGGCTGATTTAGGCTCTGCAGTGCAGATACAATCGGACTTGCTAAGGAATACCAGCATTGCTAGCTCAAACCTCGATAAGCATCCCGAAACGAAGGTGTCTCAGAAACGATCGGAGCCCAAGATAGGCCTTCCATAGTAGGATCAAGGCCGACTGCAGGGTCTTTTGAAGGATATAAGTTATGAGGAACGCTGAGTGATGGACCTGTCATGCTTGAAGCCCTCAAGCCACGGATCGAGAAACACAATTCCCACTCATCCAAAAAACCCCGAACCCCAAACCTAACCCCCAAATCCGTGACATCTTTAAGCTTGGCAGGGGGCTGAATTCGTGATGAGTTGTATATATTTCGGGTGGTTTGATGAGCCATCACATACTCCCAAACCGCACATCCCAAGTCCCGATAGAGGCAAGGCAAGTGGCTGTGATGTCATCTCGCTCTTCCCAGCCCTCGACCCAAACAGGACCTGAGTTTAAGGTTCACGGCGTGGAGACATTTTTTTGAGGGCGACAGGCCCTGCATCGAAAGATGGATCAATCGATAGAGCGATAGACCGAATATATGTAAATATATGTAAATATATATATATATATATATATATATACACACATAGATAGATAGACGGTTTGGGTACTTGGTTAGCTAGCTAGTTAGCTAGCTAGTTAGCTAGCTAGTTAGCTAGCTAGTTAGCTAGCTAGTTAGCTAGCTAGTTAGCTAGCTAGTTAGCTGCCTAGACAATACATACATACTCGTACCTGCACACGTTGTACATGTTTACCTAGACATAAGCACATGTCTATTTCACTTTATAACCTATGCAGCAGATGGAAGAAGTTGGGTCGGCACCCAACCTTTCAATCATCTTGCCCCGAGGAGGAAGTCACTCAAAGAATTGAACCGATCGAACTCCGGACCCTCACACGAAATCATAGAATCGTATGGCAGTTTCCGAAAATGGGGGACCCTAATGTAGTACCCTAAATAGTAGGATCCTTATTATAAGGACTAAGGTATCCCTAATTCTCGGAAGCTCCCACATGAAGCTGAAGAGAACCTGCGTCTGAGAAACAATGCGCAGGGGGGCAGTAAGTTGTCTTACTCCGATATCCGAAGCCCTGCATCCCGCAGGGTGGGTTCAGGAGTCATTGGGGAATGCGGGCCAGCCGTGAGCTGGACAGCTTCAGAGGGAACTGGGAACCATGATCTGATAGGGCTTCATCTGTCAACTTGAGACCCCTAAACCCTAAACCCCTAAACCCCTAAACCCTAAACCCTAAACCCTAAACCCCTAAACCCTAAACCCCTAAGCTTTGATGTCCTACTTGACCCCTGCACCTGAAACTTCGGACTCACAGGTGTACAAGTCGATGCCAACCCTCAGCAGACGGACATGGATGTCATGGAATATCATCGTGATGATGAAAAAGGATCTCGTGCGACCATGCGTTGCGGGTGCGCTGAATCGCGGGCTCGTGCTCGTAGCCCCATGTAAAGACGTCGATCACCATTTCTGGGGTCATCGAGCCCTCATATGCTTCTCGATAGTGTCGGCTTCGGCCAGATCACAGCAGGAATTTGGGGTTTCGGGTTCACGAGATTATGAGGATCTTTTGCAAACATGTCCGTTGTTTCAGGGGGTCTGGGGATTCCGGTTCAGGGTATCGGGTTTTGGTGGAGATGACTCTGCGGACTTAGGAATCAGGTGCGCGCGGTCTGTTTAAGGGTCCTGGGTTTTGAGGCCTAGGGCATCGAGCCCTAAACCCTAAACCCTAAACCCTAAACCGGTGGGGTCAATGTTTATCAGGGCTTCTTTAACCCAGAGGCCTCGGACAAGACATCCTTACAACACCGAACCGAAACCTCTGTACTTATTTTAAAAAACCCCTTATAAACATCCCAGACCCTGTAAGAATCTACAGAAAAGGACCGAAACCTTCAACACCCCTGATCCCTAAACTCGATAAGTATCCAAAGCCCTGCCCCGAAAAACACTTCGAGACAGCCTATGTACTCCCTCGTACGTACTTGAACCCTAAACCCCCAGACCCTCAAAATCCCAAACCCCTAAACCCTAAACCCCCAGACCCCCGAACCCCAAACCTACTGTCTCTGTCTGGGGTGGAAGCCTTCCAGCTGCTGGAAAAGCCATTTCATGTACTCCTGGTCCAGCGATTATCTTAGGGTTTAGGGTTCAGGGCTTACGGTTCAGGGCTTATACCGTTTAAACAGGGGTGCAAGTAATGTCTCAAGTGCGGGTCCAATAAAAGGCCCTGCTTCCAACCATAAAAGTTTACAGCCTGAAACCTACACCACGCAATTGGGTGCAGCTGCAGGGGTTCATCGGTGAGCCCCAGACTTTTGAACCTGAGTACATCTACCCTAAACCTAAACTCGACCTCAACTCCAATCCGGAAACAAGCCACATCCAGGCTAGGATGCCCAGTAACCTGGGAATAAAAAGGGCTCCCTTTTTGATATTGGCTCCCTTTTTGACATTGGGTATCTGTTCAAGGAACCTAGGGCTACAAAAAGGTAATAAGGGTACCACTGGGCATCCTAGTAGGGCCTCAAAGCCAACAAACCTCGAGGCCTGGCAAAGCCCCAAAGAGTCCCATCAAGACCCAGTCAAATCTAAATTAAGGGCTTTAGAAGGTTTAGATGGTTTCGGGCTTCGTGTTTAGGGTTTGGCGGTTGGAGCTAAGTGATGCTTAAAGCTTAGGTTTAGGCCCTATGCAGCTGAATCCTACACAGTACCCTAAGGCCCCATAGTAGTTCCTTTGGGGGCTTCATCTTCTTTTGGGGGCCTTAGGGTAAGCTTAAGAAATTTCAAAGCCCACTGCGGTCCTTGGCACGGCGGCGTTCGTTCTTCGTCCCGGAGAAGAGTGCCGTCTGGCCAACATACTGTACCACCGCCCCTGGCAATAGGTTTGAAAATTTAATCTTTTAGGCTTGGAGTTCAGAGGAAGTTAGAGGTTTATAGGGCTGAGGGTTTCAGAGTTCTGAATATATTAAGCTCCTCGAGGGCTCTTGGAGTTAGAAGGCCGTTGGACGTTTGGGTCTACAAAGGATGGTCTAGGGTTCAACCTCTGACTTACAAACTAGACCCTTGCGTCTAACTCCCAAAATTCTAGGACCTTAAACCCCACATCCTGAAACGGGTAGCCACTGATGACGAAACGCTACACATCACCCCTAAATGCAAAACCTTTGAAATGTAAAGTTTCATTCAATGCCAGTTTACATTCAGACACCCCACTTCCCAAGGCCTTAATCTCTGAAGCCGTAACCCTATCCCTCCAATGACCTCATAGTTAGGGCCCTAGGCCCCTTAAGGACCCCATAATAAGGTCCCTGGAGGCATAGCCCTAAACCCTAAACCCCTCACTAGCGGCCTGAAGAGCGTTCCAGCTTCTTGCGGGTGCCGCCCTGCTTGCCTTGAGCATCAAGCTCGGAGTGGCTGTGGGGAAGCTGGTTTTACAGGGCTGCGTAAGGTCTTGTGGGAGTTTCCAGGGCCTTACTAGTTTAAGGTGTAAGGATTCATATGTTGAGGCTTTTGGGCCTAAAGACCATAGCATGTAAGCCTTTGGGCTATTTTGAGCCTTAGGGTAAGGCTTTATAACGGGGCGTTTCCGTTGATGCGCTTTGTGCGTCTGGTTGTCCCGGATGTTCTCATCTCGGGCTCTTAGGAGCAGCGCTCCGTCAAATTTATCTCGGTGTTCCGGTGTTCCTGGTCAGCACAAAACAGAAAATGGCAGAAACCACACAACACCGTGGCCCAGAGCACAGCAGGACGGGGTTGATTAACTATGATCGCCAAGGTACCGGAAAAAACCGTAACACTAACACGAACACTAGCTTAGAAGGGGCCCCCACCCTGTAATAGTGGTATAATAGGAATATAATAGGGCCCTAATATAATGCTTATAGTCACTATTACAGGGTGGGGGCAGCTTCCAAATACTAGCACTAACACTGGGATCTACTAGCAGTGCAGGGCCCTCAGCGTCGCTGCCCTGTCGCCATATACATGGTAACATCGACATTCTGCGGCCCACATGCAGCAATGTAGGGGCCTTAGTAATTAGAATAGGGTTTTGGGCCCATTACACTATAATCATAATAAGGAACCCCCAAAACAGTATAGGTAATTATTTAGGCCCCTACAATAGTCACGACCACGTCCGCCTCAAGGCGCCGGGCTTTGCAGACCAGAATCCGAAAGCCTTAGCATGACCCTCCACAAGCACCGCCGTCGAAGCAAACTGGTTGAAGCCAGCAGACGTTGGCTGTAAGCATGAAACCTTTAACGATGCTGCGCGCCACACTTTTGGAGGGTGCCGAAAACGAAGCTAAGTGTGTGCAAGTGGTGGCGCTGTGGGCCGGCCACAGGCCACGCACTGCACCACCCTGGCCCGAGAGGGTCTACCCCTTTACGTAGCACCCTAAACCCTCCCGACATCCACCAACTTCCATCCTCCTACCAACAAAGGACCCCAAACACCTCGGCCAGAAAACACAATTCCAGCGCAAACCGTCAACTTGTATCCTACACCCAGGCATCGCAAAGCCTAGGGCCTAGGCACGCAAATGCCCAAAACACCGCCAAAAACCCAAACCCGAAACAACCCTGGACCAAAAAACCGAACCAGAAAGCTTCTTAACAGCAGAATCCTAAGCCCTAGAGCCCTAAACCTTTACCCCTGTAACTGGAACCCTTACCGAACCCCAAATCCTAATCCACATTCTTTGGATTACGAAGAAGTCTCTTCTCAGTCTGTCCAGTTGCCAAGGGCATAGGAGAGCTCGTCGTCCTGAAAGCTTGGCGTTAGGATTTGGGCTTTACCCATGGTCTTAACTATAATGTCAGGTCTAGGATCTTGTAAGGTAGTCCAAAAATGAACTACAATAGAGAGTACAGGTAGGGTGTTGGGTGCATGTTGAAATTCCACATTGGGGGCTGGCTTCCAAGAAAAGGGTTCTATAAGGATTCTAGAAGGTTCGGGTTTAACAAGGGCGTAGTGGCTAAGCGTTTACCTGCGGATCCAATTACCAACTATTCTGAGGGCTACTTTCTAGTCAAAGGTCAGAACCTGTCCTGGCATGGTGTAGGACTTGGGGTTACAGGTAGCCGTCTGGATCAACAGCTTGCCGAAGCTGACTTAAACCCGATAGATTTGCTTATAAACCTTAAGCCCTGCAAAGATAACACCCTAAAACCAGCTAAGTGCAGAATCAACAAGCTTGCCGGAACTCCAGGCCGTCATGATTCCGGTTCCAGGTTCAGGACAGAGGAATCAATTGATGCTCACCTGGCCATGATCTCGCCCGGCCATGCAAAGAATGCCCACTGTGTCGCGCTTTCAGACCCGACTCATTGATGATCTTCTTGGATCTTCGACGATCTCGTTGTAAGTAAGCCAGCTTGCAAGAATACGGTGCACGTGGCGTGCTGCTCGGCGACTGCCTTCCTCTGCTTAGAGGATCATGGGACTTAGTAAGTAGGTTATAAGTAGAGCTATAAGTACCCTAAATGGAGTTACCCCATTTATAACCCTACTTATAACCTACTTACTAAGTCCCCTGCCCCTCCAAGTAATTGGGCTAGAATCGAAGTTTTGGGCCTTGGCCACTCTGCCGCTGCAAGCGCCTTCACCGCTAAAGTTTGGCTTGGGGTTTACGTTTGGTTATTCGTGTTTAGGGTTCAGGGTTTGTGGATGGTTTATGGATCTTTTACAGATCCATAAAACCCCTACACCCTGAACCCTAAACACGAATAACCAAACGTAAACCCCAAGCCAAACCTGCAGAGCCCTAACACTAGCGTCCTCTTCTTCGGCGTTCCGGGCTTCAGTTTCGGGCGTATGTAGGTTACTCTTCGACCATCTCTCACTTGTACCCCGAAACACTCTAACCCGTAAGCTCGGGACTTGGCTAGAGGTATCGAGGGCTCTCAAAGTTCAAGTAAGACTCCTGTGTGGTTCATGGATTGGTCTCAGAATTGCTGAGAAAGGTCCTAAGGATGCGAAGATTACAAAACTTCAAGAAGGAGGGCTTGTTAGACAAAGTCTACATGTACCCTACGCCCCATAAACCCATACAGCCACTGCAAGGCCCAGCAAAAGGCATTGTTCTACCCACGGCTTTGGGAATTTCCGTGCTCAAAGCCAGTCACTTTAGATCCGTGTTTTGCGAAATGGAAAGTCCATATCATCACTGGGAAGTGCGTAAAGCTTGTAGGGCTTGGGGCTTAGAGTTTAGGGCCGTGCTATCGGGCAATTACAGGGCTTCGGATCGAGGCTTCTCCCTGTAGATCCGACTAAAGAGCAACTACTAAACCCTAAACCCCTAAAAAGCCCTAAACCCGATAGAGTAATCCTGGGAGACCTTCAAACAGGAAGTCTTAAAGAAAATCCCTCTGTACGAAGGCCCCCACAGCCGAAACCCCAGCAAACCCTAAGAATTGAAACCCTCCGCGCGCCTGGAATTGCATGGTGTCGGTGGACCAGGTTTGGGTTTCCTGACTGATTTATGGGGCTTTAAAGGTTTAGGGTTTGGGGCTTTAGGGTTTTAGGGTGTCTTGTTGGGGACTCCCCAAAACCCCATCTCTGGCGGCTTTGATTGAGCATAGCACTAATCCTCCTAAACTCGTGTTCCAACTTTCTGGCTTCTACCATGTAGGAGTTCGGAGTTAGGGTTTTGCTGTAACATTAGGATATAGGGTTCCCACAAGGGCTCGGTCTATAAGGGATACTGCAAGGGTTACAATAAGTGCTTAGGGTCGGGGCCATAACAACGAGAGCAGGGTTCGGTGGTATATTGTAGTATACTTATACAAAGACTTCAATCCAAGGTATACGGGTATAATTTGACAGGACTCCCGATGCGGGACGAAGGGAAGTGGAAGGAATCTCAACTGAGAGGTACATAGCCCGTGAAATCATATGTATTTGGGAGTTTCCGAAAACAGGGGACCCTAATATAGTACCCTAAATACTAGGATCCTTATTACAAGGACCCCAAAATAAGGTACCCCTAATTTTCGGAAACTCCCATTTTGAGGCAACAAGTGACAAGACACGCTCTGAATCTCACATCCCCAACACATGGGAGTTTCCGAAAATGAGAGGTACCTTATTTGGAGTCCCTATAATAAGGATCCTACTATTCAGGGTACTATATTAGGGTCCCCCATTTTGGGAAACTCTCACGTTGCACCACCGGAAACTCAAGCTCAAACCCCAGCTAGGGCTTGGGGTTCAGGTTCGGGGTCTCTAAGTCGGGGCCCCCAAAAGTATGTAAGGATGAGCACTTTAAGTTAGATGTGAGTACAAGGGGATTTTATTGGGATCTCACCACCCCTAACTTTTGATGTGTTGTTGGTGCGCTAAAGAAGAGAAGTTAATGTAGGCGCCTTAATAACTAGAATAGGGTTTTGGCGGCTCCTTATTATAAGTATAGTAGAATATATTTCCAAAACCTATTCTAATTCTTAACGCCCCTGTATTGTAGTACCCTTATGGATCCCTTAAAGAACTCTTTAAAGAGCCCTTAAAGCAGCCCCCCAAACCCTATTCTAATTGTTAAAGCCCCTATATTAAGTCCCAATCGAGTTCGGGCCGAGAAACGTCGCGGTGGCGATCACGGTCCAAGACCTCGTCCTTGATCTGGCCCTCGGAGCAAGGCTTAGCGTGTTAGGCTTTACCTGGACCCTAAGGAACCTACCTTTTTAGGGTTCCCTAATATGATTTCTTTGTATGAAGTCCTTCAAATTGCAGGTTACGTGGGGTTAAGGTACGGTTTAAGGGTTTTTTTAGGAAGGTGATTTAGGGTTTTAGGGAGGGTTTAGTGCTTCAGGGTTTTAGGGTTTAGGCTTTAGGAGTGTTTAGGGTTAGGCACGATGTAGAAACCCAGGTTCCACCGTAAGCCCCTTAACACTGAAGGTACCCGGGTTGCACAAGACCCCCTAAAATGGAAAGGGCAGCAGGGTACTACTGGGAGACCGAAAAGCCCGCTGCCGTGGGGAAACCCCACAAATAACCCCCTAGCTACGTAGACTGCTATAATACTACAGTCGGGGTTTCTGCCTGCCAGTGTAACCCGAAACCCTCTATCCTAAACCCCGAACTGGAAGGATACTCTGGGTGTTTGGAGATACAGCATCGGGCGCAGGTTCAGGGCTTCGGGCGCAGGGTTAAGACAAGGGCTTTTCAAACCTTTCCCTAAGGCTCAAAATGGCCCAAAAGACTTGCATGATATGATCTTTAGGCCCAAAAGCCTCAAAATATGAGTCCTTGGAGCCTTAGGGTTTGATTACAAGCTGGTGCTCACGCAAGCGGCTTCTTCAAGCTAGGTGCTTCCTTAAGTGAGGCTAGTGAGGGCTGTTTAAAAAGCTTTGGAAGCTCCTGGAAACCCCTAAACCACTAAAGCCCTACACAGCCAAACCCCTAAACCCCTATATAAGCATCCGACCAACTCCACGTGCTCTTTGGAGTCTGCCGGCTTCGGCGGATCGCTCGGAGCGGACCTCCGGAGTGCTCCTGAAGGACGCGGCAGCCATCCTTCATGGCCCAAAACGGACCATCACAGGTGTACGGAACCTTGTACCCATAGGCACGAAGAGTGTCCACGAGGCACACCTCCCGGAACTTTGTCGGAAAGCCTGTGGAAACGTTGACACATGTTCCTGCTGGATTTTCGTTGCAGCTGGCTTCTGTGTCCACCTATTGCACCAGCCAAGCGTTGCCGAGCTTCCGTGTGGACACAAGTACCCCAGTACTCGGGTCATAGGTGCAGCTCTGGTCGTCTTTGTGGATTGGGTTTGTGGCTTCTGGTATATATTGTAGGGTTTCGGCCTCACTGCACATGTTCTGGGCTTCTTACGCCTTGAGGTTTGAGCATTGGGGCTTGGGGATTGGGTGTTTAGGTCGGTGGGATTCAGGCATGCAAGGCGGGATCCTGCAGTGGGCGATTCAAACGCCTCCCGACGCAAGCCGGCTGAATACTGAACCCTCATCCCGATTTCTTACACGAAGCTTCTTGACCTTACAAACACCCTGTGATACCAAATGTCAAAGCCCTTAAGAAGACGACACTCAAAACCCGTGATCCCTAAACCCCTAAACACTAAACCCGTGAACCCCAACGCTCCCACTGCCAGCCAAGCGGCAAAGTAGCCGGGGACCTGGAGCGAATCCATGGGGCTTTAGGGCTTATAGGGGTTTAGGGTTTAGGGCTTTAGGGGTTTAGGGCTTTAGGGGTTTGAAGTTTTTAAGGTTCTGGGGGAGTTTGGGTTTAGGGTCCAGCTTCTGACTTCGGGAGTGTCTACGAGGTTGCTGCAAGGAATTGGTCGAGGCCCTAAGGCCCTTCTTAGCCCTAAACCCCAAAGAAGAATTTGCTTACCTTTGGTTAGTAGGGAATGGAGGAATGGGGTAAAATTATAACTACTATTACTACCATTCTTCCATTCCCTACTAACCAAAGGTAAGTTTGGTGAGAGTGTGGGATGGCCGGCGTCGAAGCATTTTCTCTCAAGTACCCTAAACACAAAACCCTAATTACCAAAAGAGCCCGGTACCCCTTCATGAAGCAATACATGTCCTAAACCCTACCTTACTTAACCCGGAATAACCTACCTTTTTCGGGACTTATATAAGGAAATCATAACAAGGAACTCCAAAAAGGTAGGTGGTTCAGGGTAAGGTATTCCTTAAGAAGTACCCAGCAAAAGACCTAGGAGCGAAGCCTTCGTCTCAACAGCGCTGAGCACGAGCAGCTCTGCACCACGTCTGGCGCGGATGCTGCCTCGGCTGCAGTCTCTGCGTCAGCAGGCTCCAGGGTATACTCCGAGCTTTAAGAGAAACCCAAAGGCTCACCATATATTCTACCAATTTGGAAATTCCTAGGTCCCGAAACCCACAATAAGGATGGCCTGTTGGGACCTAGCTCCATAATCCTAAAATATTATACATGAAGCCTCTTGGGTGCATTTTTATAGGTTTGGGGACCAAATTCAGAGGTTACCTGCCCGACTACCATGCTACCTAAGACTTAAGACTTTGCAGCATACATACATATATATATATATATATATAGGTTTTCATACATATATGTACAGTCACATGCGCACTTACACACACACACACACAAACTCATGGACCGCATCCCACAGGAACATCCCCAACATCCACCCATCAATGTTACAAAGGAGCCCCAGGACTCACGTAACATAAACTTCATGCCAAACTTGTACAACCGAACCCATGGTCGTGGGTTCTAAAGTAGAAGAAAAGACAAGGGCTTGAGGTGCTGAAAATGATGCAGGGGTTTACAGTTTACGATGGGGCCCGGGGCGTCTTCAAAAGTCACTGGAAGACTCATGAACAGTATCTGTAGTCTTCCAGATCCCAGACCTACTTGTTTCAGGGAACCGTACATTCTGGAAACTGGGCCCACGCAATAGTAAGCTTCTTGGCATAGACTCCTCTCAAATGAGACTTTGCAACTAAGGGTGATAAGCTATGATGCAGGTATCTACAGTTACAATTACGTATGCACCGAGCATATTGTCGCAAAAACTTATCTGATAAGTCCCCTGAACTTCCAAGCATCCCAAAAGCATCCCTAAAGTCTTGCAACACCCGATATTACTTCTGCTAGCTAGAAGCCGTTTCTGGGACCCTATGTCCCAATGAAGAACTTTGGCACCCCTTTACAGGAACCCTTAAATTATCCTTAGCAAACCCTTCTTGTGCCCCTTATAGGATGCTTGAGAGGAGCTCTTATAGGATCACTGAAGGGAGCCCTTAAAGGAACCCTTAAAACCGCTTGGGATCCGGGCCAAAAATTGCCAACTTTTCGAAAGCCTTGTCGCGCCCTGCCGGAAGCATCCATTCGGTTTAGGCTTGGGGTTCGAGGATTTAGGGTTATAGAGCTTAGGGTTTAGGTTTTGGGGTTTGGGGGTAGGGTTTAGGGCAAGTTTAGGGCGTAAGGTTTGAGGATTTGTAGTCCATGGTTGTTGCAGCATTCAATGGTTTACTTTCTATTTCTTCGTGCAAATACCCATGAATATCAAAAATCTTACCCACCTATGATTTGGTGCCTTAGCCCTTCCAGCCCTTGCTATGGGGTTTGATCACCCCTGGCCAAGCTGTTCTGGAATGCTTCGGTTGGGGTTTGGAGTTCTGGAAGGGCACAACCTCGATGGGGAGGGGGTGCTGCCAATACCATGCTCGTGGCGGGTACCCATACCATATCATAACCTCCGGAGACTTGTTGGTGCAATTCCCGCCGGATGGTACTGGTGGGGCCATCGTCGCTGTCTGAGCAAGCATTTCCTATCACAGCAGCGAGCAGCTGGTGCTTGAGAGCCACATGTAACAAATGCGTCCACAAACACACATACACACACACACAACCGTCTCTCGACCGGCATCCTCTGAACAGAGCTTCAGTCCATTAATAAATCAAACGTGAGTCACTGGACTCAACTGGCAGATTGCAGTCGAACCCGAAACCATGAAGACTAAGGCCATCTAAGGCCTAAACCCTGAAATCCCAAACTCCTCGCATTCCCCAAACCCGACATCCCATCAGAGGAGGTTGGCCTCGTCCCTTGTCCACCTCACAGAAGAACATCAAAGTGGTCCACTGGTCCTGCCGCTTTAGGTTCGGGGTTTCGGGGTTCGGGTTTAGGCCTTACAGTAGTACAATTCCTTCGTGTTTGCTGTTCGGAGGTAGGTATTGGCATGGGTTGACAGTGTAGGCTTTAAAGGTTTTGAGGCCCACCGCTCGGCTTTTGGTTTTGGAGTTTCAGGGTCTGCTGCTTGCACTGAGATCGCACGAAAACAGTAATCAACCATAATTCGAAACCTGAACTACGGGCACAGCCCCCTGCCTTGACTTATCCATAGGAAGACCTAGGAGCGAAACCCTAAACCCTAAACCCCAAACCTGAACCCATGATCAGGTTCCTGATTTAGCCCCCCGTATCGAACCCCTAGATCCCTAAACTCTTAAACCCTGTAAGAAGCCCTAACCCTAAACCCTAAACCATATATAAGGCCTAAGCAAGCCCTAAACCCCTCAAACGAACACTAAACCAACAAAAACAATCCGACCGCGCCTCGATACTGCGGAGGAAATTGCCGGCTCGGCCGGTGACGAACCCAACGGCCTCCTGGGGAACCTGCAGCTTCGGGCCCTTTGGTGGTCTGTCTTGGTACTAAGGATTTTTTGTGTTCAGGGTGCATCTTGACTCCCCCGTGCAACTGAAGATGGCGTCTACACATGGACATTTCAGCCGGTTAAACCGATCTAGAGTTGAAATGGGGCCCTTTCATTCAGATGTGCAGTTCGGTCGTGGCTGAGATCCCCTAAACCCTAAACCCTCAACCCTAAACCCTAAACCCTCAACCCTAAACCCTAAACCCTAAACCCCAAACCCTAAACCCTAAACCCATTCAAGAAGTCTGGGACATGCAAAAAGTGCCAGCGTCAACGAGCATTAACCTGGATTCTCCTGTTTTCTGACGCTCATGTGCGTGTTTGTAAGGCATGACCATTCGGGGCACAGTCCCTTGAGAAGCAGGGCCGGGACCAAAAACAGTACAAAAAGCCAGACCCTAAACCCTAAACCCTGAAACCCTAAACCCTAAACCCTACATTAACCTACCTTTACAGGAATCCTTATAGATGCCTTTAAAGGAACCGCCTATAGATCCCAGCGGTGGTTGTGCTTCAGCCTCGCCGGCCTGTGAACTTCCAGGGGCTTCCGGGGCTCTACCGCGATGGTCCAAAGGGGCCCCACCCAGAGACTCCAATATCCCTTAATTAAGGAATATACCTTAAATCACATAAGGGATCCTACTATAATTTAAGGTATATTCCATAATTAAGGGATATACCTTAAATCATATAAGGAATCCTACTATAATTTAAGGTATATTCTTTGATTAAGGGATATTGGAATCTCTGGGCATGTGAAACACTACAAACGAGTTTTGTTAAATCCTGAAGACTGCAATGATGTGAAAAAACTGCGGATTAAACAAACAAAACTGCAACCCACAGACTCATAGAACCACCCTCTGAGGAGTGTTGGACAAAGAGGGATCTTTTTGGTGGTACATACAAAAGCTCCACAGTTAGGGTTCTTTGTCAGGCCCTCATTGTTTCTGAAACTCCCTAAACCCTAGACTCTACCTATACTCCCCAATTTAGGATTCAATATCAGCTGCTTCGGAACAACCCCAAACCCTAAACCCTAAACCCTGAACCCTAAACCAACACCCTATAGACCCGAAACTCTCGCGGGCGCCGGGCCTGAAGGAGTGTCAAGTCGTTGTCGTCATAATCATCGGTGACTGAAACCGGTCCTGTACCTCTGCAGTCTATATAGGAAACCCCATAAAGTTGGAAACCGGATTAAGGCCAAATAGAGCTCTTAAGGATTGAGGCTATGGGGTTTCCAACTTTTGGGCTTCTACTATAGTTGGACTCTCTGCACCCAGACCTTCCAAAATACCTTCATTAAGGAATATACCTTAAATTATACTAGGATCCCTAATGTGATTTAAGGTATATTCCTTAATTAAGGGATTTTGGAAGGTACCTCTGCAGTCTATAGTTGGACTAGCGTTCCGAGAAAAGGGTTCCATAAAAAGGGGTCTATAAGGGTTTCTAGCAGGAGTTTAGAATGGCGGGTCTCAGAATTAGCAAAGGGGCTTGGGTGGTAGATATTGTCACATAGCACTGGAAATGTGGGCTAAGGGGGCATTATTCCTAACGGTCCTAACGATCCAGAACACTCTGTCTATTCCAGACTGTGAGCTTCCGGCGGGTTTCGGCTTCTGCGTGCAGGGTGCAGGATTTACCATGGTCTGGACAGGCGAGCTTTAGCCCTGGAAGGTCACTCAGAAAGTTGGAACATGGGTTTAACTTAGGAGCAGTGATGCTAAGATCCCCTATACTTTACGTTAAGGGTATGAGGATATTGCTGTTCCAACTTTCTGGATTCTACTCTAGGGTTCACGCTTTAGCGCTAGGGATTATGGCCCTTTGATAGTGATAGTGCTGAACAGAAGCTGGGGCTGCAGGTTGGGCTGCATGCTTGGCTGCGGGCTAACAAAATAGCTAGGAAACAGGAGCAGGTCATTTACCACCTGTAGCCCCCAAAGTGCAGAATAGCCGGCTATGACCCCGTCGTTATGGGTCAAGCGCTTGACATAGGCAGTTGGAGCCACAGGTACTTGTAGGGCTTCCTGCGCAACTAAGACTAAGATTCGAAGGGGAAAAGGTTAATGGGGACCCCCCCTACCCTACAATGGGCTATATAATGAGTATATAATGGCTATATTAAGGGTATATACCTAGAAGTCCTTATTGAGGGTCCCTCTTTTTACCCTTGACTTGATCTCTCCTCGGGGCTTCGACCTTGGAGATTCCTGGCTCAGGAATCGAGGATAAGCCCTACATCCCTGGAACCATCCAAAGAGCACTACATCCTCAAAACCATGCCCCAATAAAGGTTCCTGTAAGGATTCCGTAACGAAAGGTTCTACAAGGCTGTAGATGACCTAAACTCTTTCAAGCCCTGAAGCCCGAGTGACACCAAGCCCCAACCCTCAAGCAAAGGATCACAAGGTCTCTCATAACGAGAATAGAGCTCTGAATTTTGGTGCTTCTTATATCCGGCGTTCAGGAACCATACGGGATACACTTGGTAGTTTTTACGGTGAACCTATACTCAGACTCAGGCCAAAGACTTTAAGGTTGGGTACATACGCAAGCCCCTGCAATAGACCCGAGCTCCCAGATGAGGCACGCTGGGCCATGACCCCCTCGCAGTACTTCTTAGCCCGCTTCCGCCTGAGCCATGCGGCTTGGTTTGGTTTGGTTTGGAGATTAAACTATGCCGCCCCTTAGAACCAGAACCACAATAACAATATTCTGTTTAATATTCTCTGGGGCTTTATATGAACAAAAATGAAAAAGAATTCCTAAGGAGACTATAGAAAAAGCTAGAGACACGGGTTCACGGGTGGGGAGATGTGCTGCTTCGCTGCGCTTGAGATCGGAGTTTCCGAAAATAGGGCATCCTAATAGTACCGTAAATAGCAGGATCCTTAAATAGCCTAGCGGGTTCACTTTCGGGGGTGGTTTTTCCTGTTGTTTATGTGCCTTTGTATGCCCTTCTCCTTCGCACGGCCCTTCCGGCACATGGAAAACACCGCCCAGCGCGAGGTTTTCGCCTTGTTACATGTGTTCCGCTCTTGGTAGCCGAGTGTTTTGTCTGATTCGCGCTGTCTTTGTTTTTTGCACCAAAAACGACGTCGTTTTTGGTAGTACATTTTCGGTTGCGAATTCGTCGGAACATCGAAAAACGTGGCCTGCGTGCTGTATTCCTGACTTTCTGCAGGCATGTTTTTGGGATGTCTGCCGCTTTGCGTTTTCTGCGTTTTATGCGTCGTTGTTGCTTTCGGTCATGCGCTCTGCTTGCTCTTTGGGGGGGGGGTTGGGGGGGTGGGGGGGTGGGCGGGGGGGGAGAAATGACGTTCTGTTCAAGCGAACACAAATCAAGCTGCGAAGTTCCCTGTGCAAGCGTGCTACTGACAGGAAACAGAACAACGAAGAAACATGGGAACCCCGACTCACACGAGATACGCGAACACAAATCAAGCTCCAAACTTCCCTGAACTTTTCTGCGTTGTTTGCGTCGATTTTGTTTTCGGTCATGTGCTCTGCTTGCTCTTTGGGTGGGGTGGGGGTGGTGGGGGGGTGGGGGTGGGGGGCTGGGGGGGGGGGAGGGAGTAATGACGTTCTGTTCAAGCGAACACAAATCAAGCTGCGAAGTTCCCTACGCACAGCCAAGGGTTTGGCATGTTGTTCTACAGCTTGAACTCCAAACAACTGCATTTCATCAGCATCGTCATCATCACTGCCGGCATCACCATCATCATCATCACCATCATCATCATCATCACCACCATCATCATCATCATTACACACCACGTGCATTACATACAACTCAGTAATAGCAATCCCCAGAACAACCAGTTATCACTACACACGAAACAAGTTCACGATACATGCTATCCCAAACCCCTGCCCATAAAAGTTTTTTCCCAGTACGTAAAAACACCGAACCCCGAAAAAAACGATACAAAACCACCCCCGAAAGTGAACCCGCAGGGTTAAATAGGGGACCCAAAATAGGGTGCCGCTAATTTTTGGAAACTCCCAGATAGCCGTGTGTTGCAGATTGCAGGTTTCGGGCTCAGGCCGTTCTGCTTGAGGCAATCAAGCTTTGTCCGGGTACTCAAAGGATCATGGGACTTAGTAACTAGGGTTATAATTAGGGTAACTATACTTATAACCCCAATTAGGGTACTTATAACCTTACTTACTTAAGTCCCATGACCCTCCAAGTAATCCCTAAACCCCTATACATCCCTTATAGATCCCTTTAAGGAACTAAATCCTAAACCCTAAACCCCAAACGGGTATATTCTTCTGATCTTCTGTCCAGGTCAAGATTCCCCGGGAGCGTCTTGGTCTTACCGGGAACTCCAGAAAGTTGGAATATGGATTCAGGGTAGGATCCCCTATAATTTACCATAAAGGGTTTAGGATAATGATATTCCAACTTTCTGGCTTCTACTTTAATACATCTGCACAGCCTGGGGTGTGTTACAAGTATAAACGGTATCTAAACTCAGCGGTGAATCTTTGTCAACATCTCCTGCTGCTCCATGTTTATAGGATCCTTAAGGGGGGGTGGTTCAAGGGGGGAGGGTACTAGGGAGCTTTGGGGAACCTTAGGGAAGCTTAGGGAGTATTGGGGAATAATGGGGATTACTAGGTTACCTACCCCCCTTGGACCACCCCCCCTTAAGGACATCCTAACATGTGTGAGCCTGGTGGTCTGAACATTTCAGATGGTCCGGGTTTCAGGCTCCAGGGCGTTGGCTTTTCGAGTTTAAATAGCTACTGCGGTGCTTCGAATCTACCGGACACGACGGTGAAGCTAGCCCCAGTTCGACACTCAGGGATCCGATGTTGGGGGGCAACTGAGTCGAGCTCAGGGCAAAGGGCTACGGATCTAGGATCTTGCAATCCGCACGGATCACCGAAAAAGACCCGCGTCAACCCCAACAAACCCCGGTTTGCTTTCAAGTCGCTGGAGCTTACTGCCACGGATTTCCAAAATTAGGTCGCGCTCGAAGAGCTCGATCTCGGCCTCTTGGACGCCGGGTTTGAGGGGTTCCAAGAACCCTCGAGGGTCTCACGAGCTTGGGATGAACATTTTGCTAAATTTTAGGAATCGCCAATGCCCAGAGGCTGCTAAGGCTGTGGGATTCAGGCTTGTGGTTGCGACCCCAAAATCCTGGCGATCTGCACTGAAACCGAGAAACCCTAAGTCCGAAACCATGCGCACTCTTCGACTCTTCGAAGAAATAACCTTGGCATTACCCATAGGCACCAAAGTAGTTCCTTTTTGGGGATTACCTTATAGGATTCTATATACGAACCCCCAAAAGGAACTACTTTGGGGCCTTAGGGTAGAGACGGCAGCCTCCATCCAACATCCCACACCCCAAGCCTTCCAGCTCTGAGCCTTCCAACGGCCAAGGCCCTGCACGCATGAAAAACCTTTCCTCAAAGGGGAAAAGGATGGACCCTTAATTCGGACCCCCTACCCTATAATGGGCTATATAATGGGTATATCAAAGCTAAATTAAGGGAATATACCTAGGGGTCCTTATTAAGGGTCCCTCCTTTTACCCTTGGATTTCCTGTGCCCAAGAAAAGATAAGCCCCGAAACCTCCAAAAGCAATTGCCGACCTCCGAAGCAGGACGGAGCCCGAAGCCCTAAAATTTGAACCCTAAACCCTAAACCCTGCAAACCCCAACCCCAAAGCCCTAAACCCCAAGCCCTAATCCCTGACTCACGGAACATCAGCTTAGACCCCTAGGCTTCGAAAGCTGGCCTCTGCAACTTTGGCGATCTTCTCCTCCGGATCGCGATGGGGTCGCCGTGCCGGGTGTTAGGGCTTATATGGGTTATTAGAGCTTGGGGCAGGCTCAGAGTTTTAAGGCTTGGGGTTGCAGGCTAGGGTTACCCTATGCCTCCAGGGACCTTATTATGGGGTCCTTAAGGGGTCTAGGGCCCTAACTATGAGGTCCCTGGAGGGATAGGGTTATATAAGGGTTTAGGGTTTGGTGTTTTTGTGTTCGCGTTTAGGGTTTTAAGGTTTGGGGTGCAAGGTTTACACTTCAAGGTACTGTGCCGTTTGGGGTTCAGGGTGTAGGCCTTGCTAGGGTCGAATACGGCCCAAAGCCAAACCCCAAACCGTTAAGGTTCAGCATTTGGGTAGTGTGAGGTTCTTGACTGCGCCGCTAGGGTACAAGTTTTTCTCGGCTCCTGCTGTACAGTAGTCTCCAGCTTTTAAGTTTCAGATTCGAGTTTTGGGGTCTAGGATCTGGTTTGCGGATTAGATTTGCTGAGACATTGGTGACATGGGCCTGCACAAGCTGCGTGCAGTAGAGCATCCTTCAGGTTCAGGGTTTGGGGTAGGGTTGAAGGCTTAGGGCAAAGAGCTCAGGAATGCATCTGAAAGGGACTCCAGGTGGGCGGTGCGTCAAGCTGTATGTCCGAGCTACGGAAGGGAATTCTCTAACTAATCATCTTTGCACGCATGCCAGGGACATGGTAGAACAGAAATCCTACTCGAACAGACGTCTCGGTAAGCGTGTAGCCCAGGAAGCCTTATGAGGATTTCATCCAACTAGGCTTAAATTTTCTAGGGTCTTTATCGTAAGGACCACATCATGAATCATCAAGATCCAGATCAAGAACATGCAGTTAGCTCCCTGCTAGATTCATAAGGATCCATAGTATCCTCGCCCCTTGAACCACCCTCCCTAAGGATCCTATAAGACTATCAGAAGTCTTGTCGCGTAATTAAACCCAAACCCTGACACCAAAATCTCCAAATCCTGCGGCAGCTTCACCGCAGTAAAACCCTTAAACCCTAAAGCCCTAGACCCCTAAACCCTAAACTTAAGCCCAAAAGACTGAAGCCCTGAAGGTGCGGTCCTTGGTCTTGCCGCCTTTGCCCAAGATGAAGGCTGCATCGTCGTCAGTGATCTTCAGCGTGTCGACGCCGTAGTCTTCCTTGGGGGTTCCAGTACAAGAGGTGTAGGATGACAAGGGTTTGGCTTTTAGGGTTTAGGGTTTAGGGGTTAGGGGTTTAGGGTTTAGGGTTTATGGGTTCGTGCAAAATGTATGGTGTTGTCTGAGCGTTTTATAGGGTTGTACATTAGAATAAAGAGTTGGGGGGATTAGATGGTATGATAAGAACCGAAGCACTAAATCTTCACACCTGTAGATTAGAGAGCTGGGGCCAGTGCTGAGAGCTAGGACGTTCCGGCTTTAGGGCTTCTGGCTTGCTGTTGGCAGCGGGTCCTCCTCCCAATCTGGGTCGACGTGTCTATGAGAACCCGAAATCTTAAAGCCAAAAATGCATCTACACGCCAAAAAACCCTTAACCCTCAACCCTAAAACCCGAAACCCTCAACCCTAAAACCCTAAACCTTTAGCCCTAAACCCTGTAACCCTCTAGTAGCCGTTACAAGTATCTAATTCGTATAGATCGCTTTAAAAGGAACTCTAAAACCCCAAAACCGAACATCTAACCCTATAGCAACCCTTATGTCACATGTAGTATATATAGATCCCTTTAAAAGGAACCCAAAACCCTCCAAGGACCTCGTAGTTAGGGCCCTAGACCCCTTAAGGACGCCATAATAAGGTCCCTGGAGGCAGACGGGGAACCCAAAACCCCCAAATCGAAAATCTAACCCTATAGCAACCCTTATGTCATATGTAGTAGTATAGACCCCTGAAAGGAACCCCCAACACCTTAGTATAAATCCCTTAAAGGGAAGCACAAAACCTTAGTATAGCTCCCTTTAAAAGGAACCCCAAAACCAACAAATCAAATTTCTAACCCTAGAGCAACCCTTATGTCAGACTATAGTAGAGATCCCTCACCCGTGGCTCGGCTGCAGCCAGCCTCCCCGGAACTTGTCAAAGAGGAAAAAAGGTACCCCCAATAAAACAAAAAAAACATAAAAACATCAGCCGCAGGGCCGGTCGCTTCTGCCTCCCGCCGCTGCGAGAGCGGCTTCGACTGCGGTCCTTGCGGTGCTCCCGGGCTCGGATTTTATGAGGGGTTACTGTTTGTTTTATAAGAGTGTAATTATGGGATTGTATAAGCATTTATAGCTCGGATTGTTGAAAAAGGTGTTAATATATTAATATATATATATATATATATGTACACACACATATACATAAATATAAATATAAATATATATATATATATGTACATATTGTAGGAGCTTATCAGATTTTTTAGGATTTATACGGGCTTTTAAATTTATAGATGTTACTTTTTGTTGTCTAGGAGTTTCATTGGATTTTATAGGGTTTATGCGTTGTTTTTCATGATTTCTGTGGCTTATCGGGTGTATAAGGGTTAGGTTTAGGACAGGTAAGGTTTTGATAGTGCTTTGCGTATAGAGCTTCTAGCACGACGCTTCCCAACCCTCTTAATCAAGGAACGCCCCTGAAATGACAGATGGCCTTAATTCTTAAACTTCACATAACCTACATGCCTCGAAATCTTGAACCTTGACTGAATGGTAGTTTGCGATCTCCTCCTTACTGGAGGAACCTTGGAGTCTTTGGGTATACCTGCTTGTAAGGGGTTTGGTGTTAGCACTCTTGCGTAGGAAGAGAATTTGGTCTGAATAGAAGGGTTCTGCGGTGTCAAGGGGCCATGGGGTTTCAGGGGCTGCTCAGCGTCTGGGACTTTCAGTGCGTTAGTTTCACCGCTTAGGGTCGAGATGTAAGGTTTACGTCCACTACCTAGACCACTAAACCTTCTAACACGAGCTCAATTTCAACACCTTTGAAGGCATAGGGTTTATCGGGGTTTACCCACAGACCCCATAGTAGTTCCTTTTTGGGATTACCTTTTCGGATTATACATCTGAACCCCCAAAAGGAACTACTATGGGGCCTATGGGTAGGTTCTCCTCATCCGCAGGGGTGAAGCCCTGAGTTTCGGGGGGAGGGGGGGGGTGCCTTGGCTCTCCTCGAAGGCAAGGGTCTATATACTATAGTACCTAGGGGCCTTAAGTAAGTGTTGGAACAACGGTATACTCTCTAGTCTATAGTAAGTATATGGGTGGTTGTCAAAATTATGGTCCCGTTTATACGGCACCTAATATTTAGGGTACCCAAAAAGGGGCCCTAATTTTGACGACCACCCATATGTAAGTATAGTAAGGAAGCCTCGGGATGGCGTTACCAACCTGGCCACCCTACTTGGAGGGTCGGGGAACTTAGTAAGTAGGTAGTAAGTAGACTTATAAGTACCCTAAAAGGGACCCTAATTGGGGTTATGGTACTTATAAGTCCCTAAACTAACCAGTTACCAAGTCCCCCGACCCTCCAAGTATGCTGCTAATCCATGGTATTGACCTTACAAACTCAGCTGCACACATCCGGTACCCCAAACCTGACGCACCCAAGCTCAGTACCCAACCAACATATCTACGGTTTAACGGTTCAGGGATTGGGGAACATCATTGTTGGGGTGAACTTGGGGTTTAGGGTTTACAGTCTTGAGGTTTGGTTGATAGTTCAAGATCCAAAAGGCAACTAAAGCTCCATGTGCGAATGAATATTGCCTAGACCCCGAAACCCTACGTGAAGCATCATGGGCAACTTCTATACCCATCAAGGTGCCTATAGCAATGCTCAAAAGAGGCCAATAACCACCATTTCTCGAAGCCCAACACAAGCATCTTAAAGCCCCAAACCCCCTAAATCCGGACCCTCTACACCCCAACAGGACCCTGGTGAAAGCGAGCACACCAGTATAAGCAACGTGTCTAATCTAGGATGCCCAGTAACCGTGGAATAAAGAGGGCTCCCTTTTTGGTATTGGGTACCTTAATAAGGAACGTGGGACTACAAGAAGGAAATACCACTGGGCATCCTAGTAATGATAAATTTCAGCCATCTCTACTGATCACCCCGATTGAGGCACCAGATTTGCTAAATCCCCGGATGCCTCATTTCGATAAGAATAGAAACCTGTAGAATCCCCGTTCACAGTTCTACTTACAAAGACCCTTGAACCCTAAACCTATGTAATGCTAAGGACGGCCTTCTTCTGGCTTCGGCTGCGGCCGCGGCTATCACTTCGCGGCATGCTGGGCAAGGGTTCCGGTCGCTACTATGCCCTAGCCTGACCCCAGAAACCCTGTGGATCCTGACTGAAACTCCTGGAACTGCTGGGTAGCCTTCGTTTTCATAGCTGGTGACAAATCTGAGGGGGTCTGATGCGAGCATGGAGAGATCCCTTGAAGCCCTACCGGCTGCCATGCCGTATTCTGTGCTGTCCGACCGGTCCCCCTGCCTTGGGAACGTCCGGGAACTTAAGCCAAGCGGCAAGAGCCACGGTTTAGGGTTTGGGGTTCAGGGTTTAGGGTTCAGAGTTTTGGGTTCAGGGTTTAGGGTTCAGGGTTTAGGGCTGAGATTGAGGGTTTAGGGGATAGGAACACCAGCGCAAGGAGTGTCTGAGCATGCAAGGCTTGGGCTTTGTTTCAGGGTGCCCCTGCAACCCATTCCCCCATTCCTGACCAAGAACCACGGAGTCTTTTGGCAGTGATCTGTCAATGCAGCGGAAGGCAATCATGAGGCAGCAGCCCTAGCTACACTAAATAAGGCGATCGGATCTAGGAGTATAAAAGCGGAGGCTCTAAAGGCATACTCCTGCTACTTCTTCGACTGAGAGGGTTTAGCGTTTAGGGTGTTGGGGGGATGCTGTTGCTACTTGTTCAGACCCCTTATGTTGAGCCGTATATAAAGAGCGCCGATGAGAGCTCTTCCTATTCTACTACAGCCCGTCCTGAACTCAAGAAGCTGCAATAGGACAACCATCAGACCGATAGCCCTGGTCTATGTAGTGGCTTTAGGGTTTAGGGTTTTCATGTGCCCCCTTAGATCCTTTAAAGAGCCTTGTGAAATCAAGACTGACAGCTTTGATCACTTGGTTGGGGGTCGTCCTTGTCACGCCCCTGGCTCTGAATTTCTCGAAGATCTCACTGTTCGGCTTTCAAGACAGACAGCGGTCAACCAAAAAACCCTGAAGGCTCCACTCTATTCATTAGAAGCTGCCCCCACCCTGTAATAGTGACTATAAGGATTATACTAGGGCCCGATTATACTCCTATGATACCACTATTACATTGTGGGGGCCCCTTTTAAACTATTCATGTCATGTTAACCCTAAACCCTAAAACCTGCAAACCCTAAACCCTAAACCCCTAAAACCTGCAAACCCTAAACCCTAAACCCTAAACCCTAAACCCTAAACCCTAAAACCTGCAAACCCTAAAACCCCTAAACCCCTACACCCTAAAGGCTCCTCTCTATTCATGTCATGTTGACCTCGCCAACAGCAAGAGACCTTGATCTTCACTCAAAGGGGAAAAGGAGGGACCCTTAATGGGCACCCCTACCCTATAATGGGCTATACAATGGGTATACAACAGCTATATTAAGGGTATATACCTAGGGCTCCTTATTAAGGGTCCCTCCTTTTCCCCTTTGATTCACCACTGTTTCAAGGTAAAACATGTGGCATTGGCAGATGGCGCGGGAGGTCTGCAGCATTACTCCTCGTCATATAGTTAATATAGGGGCCTCAGGGTAATGAATTGAGTCGGGTGTTGGGGTCTACTATATATAGTAACAGTATGGCTCCATATGGACAACAGGGGAATAACTTTGGCAATTATTCCGACCTGTATATTTGACTCATGCATTAGCTACTTCTGCTGCTGGGATGCTACGAAGCCCTAGACCCGAACACCCTAAACCTATATATTCCCCTGAACCCAAAAAAGATAGTGCCGTCTACCCATAGGCCCCAAAGCAGTTCCTTTGTGGGAGTACCTTATTGGACTCTATATGCGAATCCCAAAAAGGAACTACTTTGGGGCATTAGGGCAAGCTTCTATAGGGTCGAGCCTTAGACCTCCCACGCTGGAAGACGCACGGCGACTTACGGGAATCCGGATGCTCCCACAAGAACGAATGTAGGGGCCATCAGGCCTTGATAATGCGAATAGGGTTTGAGGGGGTGTAGTATATGATAGCATAACATTTAATGTATAATCAAGAACGAGTGTAGGAGCCTTAACTGGGAATGTGTACACACCTTGTTCAAGCTTGCTCCTGCCACTGGTCGTAGACGTTTTGGCACGTGCGTAAGCAGTCGTTAATAGTTAGACTATAGGGTTTGAGTGGTACATTATAGCACAACGTTGCAATGAAGGGCGCAATATGGAACGCTACTGTATGAGTGATTGTTCGACCCCAAACCCCTAATTCTAAACCCCTAGCTCTTAAGCTCTAAACCTTAAGCCCTTAAACCCCAGGCCCTAATTGCTTCTCAGGGTCGGGCATGCCAGGTTTTGAAGGGTTTATGATCTTTTGCAAGGTGCGAAATGTAAGGTGTAGGCTTTGGGGGTCTTAGCAATTCGCATATTTGGGTGGTTGTCAAAATTAGGGTTGGTTTTTGGGTCCCTGTTATAATACGGCACCTAATTTTTGAGGGTACCCAAAAAAGGACAATAATTTTGACAACCACCCATTTCAGCATTCGGAGATGATTGTTCAGCCAATAGAGGTTCTACCGGATCGAAGGTTCGGGGGTTTGAACTGAAGTTTCAAGTTCTGGAGTGTGACGCTGGCGTTTGCTGCTTCTTGAATCCGTCCACCGGCATTTCTTGTGAAGACATCCGCGCCGTGTTTTTTTTTACAGAGTGACGATTAAGAAGCGTTCGGGCTTCAGTCTGCAGGCATCGGTTGCGAACTTAACCTCAAACCTTGCCGCCAATTACCCTGAACCCCGGACCGGACCCTGAAACCCTAAAGCCCCAAAGCACTGAAAGCCTAAAGCCTAAAACTAACAAACACCCGATATCCGAAACCGAGCCCTACCGTCAGTCGCTGTCTGTGAGCGACTGCTGAGAGGCAGCTCCGGCCATTCCGGAGGAGCTGACATCTGTGGAGTCGAAGCCTGAAGCGTTCAGTCGCAGAGCCCAGACCTTCCAAAATCCCTTAATTAAGGAGTATATCTTAAACTATAATAGGATCCCTAATATGAAATAAGGTATATTCCTTAATTAGGCTTTAAGGTAAAAGCCAGAAACTTGGAATATGATTATCCTAAGCCCTTAATGGTAAATTATAAGGTATCCTACCCTGAAACCATATTCCAACTTTCTGGAGTTCCCTGTAAAGGGTTTCAAGGGTTTCATAGGTTTACAGGGATTTTGCTTGGGTTTTAAGAGGTTTGCGTTTTGAAGGCTTTAAATGGCTTCATAGGTTTACAGGGCCTAGGGGTGGCTGGCGTTTAGGGCTAGGGTTTATGGTTCCGGGGTGTAGAGTGTACGATCCTGGTGCTTCCTTTGATACGTTAATTTTGGGTTGTTTGCCTGTTGTGCTTCTTTGGGGTTTTGGGCTGTTGGTAGGATATAATCTGGCAAAGCGTTCTGAAACCCACGGAGTGTGCAGAAATGCCTCGGCGGCTCAGATCATGCATTCGATCACACGATATAAGATTGTCTTATGGGCTCTCTTCATAGGATCTGAGAATCTATGGGTCTGTGAGGGGTACGCTATAGCAAGATCGATCTGTTCCATAAGCATCTATCTAGCCAAGCGCGATTCAGTATCGCATGGCTTTCCTGTGCCATCTGGGCTGATGGCACTCTTTCAAAGGCCCCCCCACTGATGATCTGCATCATGAGCATTTGATGTGCAGGAGCATGTCATACCTTGGCTGATTCAGTAAGCATCGATCATAAAATTTAAGCTGCATGCAGCACACTGCATGATATGTTTGGCCAGGTGGCTGCTGCCTTTGGCTTTGGTGGTGGTCCTGGGACAAAGGTGTGCCCACCCTCTGCAGTGTGCTTTGAGTTTGCACTCCATTCTGTTTGAACAGTGGGTGCATGACGATGTGCATCATGCATATACGTGCAGTTTTTAACAGCTGGCAGATGATGTGCAGCAGCATAGTGCAGTGCATATCGATCACGCATCTTCATAAGACGTCATGCCTGCGGCAGCCATGGTGGAGGGTGGCCCTCATGTAGATGACATCCCAGCTACAGATCTGGCACGTGCTTGGGAGAAACAAGCATCCCTGCGTAGACGTGCTGCCCTGTATACAATGGACTACTGGCTGCAGGGAGATGTGCATGTGTGTGTGTGTGCATGCATGCATGTACACAATTTGCATACGTGAAGGGGTCCTAGCTGACCTGAGGTTCGTATGCCACCTACAAACCAAATGGATCGGAAAGCTGTGGAACTGAATGAGGACCTCCTCACAGAGCAGATCCTCTACCTTGGGACAAGAGTGTCTGTAGACACTCTTGAGGTCCATGTTAAGAGCCTCTATGACCTCATGCGGCTGCCAATCGGGGGTCCCTTGCCGTCTGCAGTATAGAGTGTGAAGCAGAATAGGTCGAGTAGATAGATCAGAAAGAGAGATAGAGAGAGAGAGAGAGAGAGAGAGAGAGAGAGAGAGACAGAGAGAGAGAGAGAGAGAAAGAAAGAGAGAGATCGAGAGAGAGAGAGAGAGAGAGAGATCGAGAGTGTGTGTGTGTGAGTGGGTGCATGCACTAGCTAAGATTCACAAGCTTCGACACTGGCATGGTCAGTGAAGCGCCTGTCCTCGTGTTTCAACCGCATCGCTGGCCGACCTAATCGCCCTCGCAGCGCTGGCATCAGGAGGTTGATGAAGATTGCGGGAGTGCCAATACCTCCGCCAGCCCGCCGGGCTCAGGAGGAAGGTTTCGAGGAAGAAGGGGAGGAAGAGGAAGAGGAAGGGTTTGAGGATGACCCAGTAGTGGAAGAGGCTCTACATCTTGATGTTCCCCCAGAGCCCAAGGAACCTTCGGAGCCTAACGCCGCTATGGTTTCCGTAGATCCCGAGCCTCCACAGAAGCTCCGACGCATGGATGCTGGTTGTTTGATCACCAACAAGAACCAAGGCATCCTGAAGCCAGCCCAGACTGGTTCCAAGCAAGCCACGGAAGCCCTGCCATCCCCAGAAGCCACTGAAAACCCAGCTCCAAAAGCCCCTGAGAACCCAACTCCAAAAGCCGCTGAAAACCCAACTCCAAAAGCCGC